CACAGGAAAGTAACCAACACAGCCGAGATCAAATCAGCCATCGTATATAATTAATGCATGCTAATCAAAACATTTCTTAAAAGATTTGGGAGAAAATCAAGTTATCCAGTCCCTATAGTGAAATTGTCAGTTGTGTAAATAGCAAGGCTGTTGGAGAGACACACAGTGTATACCAGTTTCCTCCAAAGTAGTTTTACTACTACTAAACTCTCATTGTTTTCCCAGAAGGAAAGCAACATTGGTTTCCTGGAAATGGCTGCAACGGTGAGGAAAAGCACGGGGAATATGTATAAGCTGGAGTCCAGAGAGGGGCAATTTCTGCTTCCTTCTGCCGCACAGCACCACCCCCTTCACCACAGACCCGTGGGAGGCGTCTTCCCCAGACCAGAAACATTAGCCCCACTTGGAAACTTAGCAGAAATGCAAACTCTAGGGATGGAGCCCAGCAACCAATATTTTAACAACTTCTCCACACCTACAAAGGGGGCCTCTTGGAAATAGAATCCCGAGGTGAGGAACTGGGCAGTCTGTGAGTTTGAGGGACAGTGGGCTGGTCCAGACCTGATCTCCAGACTCAGGAGAGGGTGCTCCTGGTTTTGGTCTGGCTCAGGACTTGTATTTAGGGATAGTAGTTATTCTCCTCTGTGATTCAATGTTCATTCCACATCAAATGCTCAAATGGGAGATGTTCCAACTTGTGATTAACACTGTGTGCCATGGGAACAAAGCTTCCCTGTGTGGCTCCGCAACACCCAGTGGTAGAGCTTGGGAATGGGCCCAAGAGGAGAGAAAAGAGCCTGGGAATGGGAAGGATTTGACCTCTCCCATTTGAGATTGTCTTCTCTCCTGCTGCCCCGGTACACTTCCCCTCTTGCCTCTGACCTCTCTCCGTGAGAGGGAGAGCCAGTGTGACTCTGACTTTGGGGTGAGCTGTACCTTGCCTAGTCATAGCTTTCTGGGATCCCGCTTCCTGCCAGCTCCTCTTTCCTCAGCCAAAGATCAGTTTCTGGAAACAGAATCCATCTTTCACTTGAACAGGATATGACTATGATGTAGGCTCGGATTTCCGCTGCTGGTGACCTGGCTTTGATTAGGAGTCCCATCACTTTAGTCCATGGCGGAGGCTGCCCAGCAACGCAGCCAGCTTCCCCAAATGTACAGCCGTGTGATGGTCGCACAGGCTGAGCGGTCACATTGCCGGGTGAATCAATGTTTCCCAAAGGAAACAAAGCCTCACGGAGGAAGCTTTGTGACATCTCTTTCCAATGTCAAAGAGAACAACATACCACAGACTTTAGGTCTCACCCATGCCTTAAAATGAACATGGAAACTAAGGAAGGAGAACCAGGAAAGAGTGGGCGCAAGCACCTGAGGCATCTCGTCTTTATTCTAATGTTGGTTTGTGTTTGAGATGAGATGAATATGGGAAAGAGGAGCCGGCAGGAAGCGGGATCCCAGAAAGCTTACCCTGAGATGCTCAGCTGGAACCTGAGACACTTAACTGGGACCATGATTTGGGATGCTGACTTGGATGCTTATCTCAGATGCTTACCTGGGATGCTGACTGGGATGCTTTCACAATGACTCACAGAAAGAAATGTTTACCAAGGCTTTATTCTATTTATTAATTTTTTTGACACAGGGTCTCCTGTATCTGAGGATGGAGGATGGCCTGGAACTCATTATGTAGCAGAGAATATCCTTGAATTTCTTCTCCTGCTTCTCCTGAGGTGTGTGACATCACATCTACCTCTTGTTTTACAAGCACAAAACCAAGTCCAGAAAGTTAGGTGGCATTTCCAATACCACAGAACTAGCAGAGGCAGGTCCCAGACAAGACTCAGGCCTTACTTCTCAGGTGAGCACTGGCCCCTCCCTGCCAACATTCATTACCCTCCTGAGGCCCGGCTGAGCATCTGGTCAGCCTGGTGTCAGTAACAGGCTTTTCTTAAGTGACAAGGCTTTGATAGGATCAGATAACACCCAGACGAGGAATTGTTCCAATTGCTCCCAAGAGTGGATGAACATTAGATGGACATTTGGGAAGCCAGAGCCTGGGCAGGCAAGAGTGACCCAGAAGAGGTTTTCAGTTGCCATTGTCCTGAGGCTGGTGATGACATTCTAACTCCTTGCAGTAGACAGGGAAACTTTTTTCTTGTCACCACTAATTTGGCACCCTGGTCTCTCTGCCAGCAGACTGAAATGATGGAGACAGATTACTCTGTGTGTGTGTCTGTGTGCACAGGTGTGTGTGTGTACTTGTGTGTGTGCATGGTGTGTGCACATGCGTGTGTGCATGTGTGTGCCTCTATACTTGTGCATGTGGTTATAAATATTGGCAGTCGATGTCAGATGTCTTTCCCAGTCTTTCTCCACTTAATTTTTTCAGATAGCATCTCTCACAGAGTCTGGAGCTCCCCAATTGGCTAGACTGGGTGACTAGTGCTCTCCAGGGGCCCCCTGGTGCCTGCACTCCCAGAACTGGGGTTACAGACACGTGGTTTAAGTGAAAAATAAAAGAAATTAAAAGGAAAGGGCATGACTGTTCCTAGATATGGGGGAGGAGAAGGTTTACTGTGGATACAAGGGAGCTTGTAGCCAGAGGCTACGTGTGGGAGAGTCCAGAGTGAACAGGACCAGACTTAGCAGGGCCATATGAGGGGACAGGGAGGGGAGAAGAAAAGGCCAGGCCAAGAGGCCAGGAGTGTAAAGCATGGACCAAAGGGGCCAAAAGAGGACCAGCATACAAAACGATTGGATTATACAGGCAAAGGTAGCGCAGCCCTGGCTGGGGAAATTTAGGGCAGGGAGTGGGGTATGGCATCCAGGAGGGCCCAGTCCACACTGAGGGATGCTGGGAGAACCTGGTGACCAGATCTACTTTGATCTCAACCATTTGTCCCAGGCTTGAGATCTAACGAGGTCACATCTGTTTGTTTTGTTGTTTCAATAGTTGCTGGGTTCTCTGCACTGAGGTCCTTATGTTTGTGTATTAAGAGTTTTACCACCCGAACCATCTCCTCAATCCCACAGAATATGTTTTTAAAGAAAAACTCTGTGACAGGGGCCATAAGTCGGCTCAAAGTTTCACACACACACACACACACACACACCCTCAAACGTAACAGGGAACATTAGTGAAACTTGCAAATGTCAACACTTTCACAGGTTACTGTCAGAAGACGGTAGCAGGCTTTCGGTGAGTTTGAGATGGGGCACTTTAGCGGTTAACTGCCTGGGCCCGCTGTTATATGAGGAAGCACACAGAGAAACCTCCCAGGGCTCACTTACTTGGCACAGCAAAATCTTCTTCAAAACAATTTTCTATGATACGGTTATTTTTTTAAAATATACCTCAGTCCAGGTCACATTCTTTGTACACAATGATTCATGAGAAATAGAAAATAAACCACAATTGGAATTTTCAGAGAAGCTGTTTGAGGAAGAGTGATCTTTAGCCAATGAGTCACTGTGTACTCACAGAACTTTGATCAATGCTTGCAGGGACTATTTTGTGCTGAGAACAAAGACACCAAAGAGATAGGCCCTAGAGGAAACTGGGGTGTGGGAGGCTTATGTGGGGAAGTAGAGTCAGGAGGCATTTCCCAGCCCGAATCAGCGAAGTCAGGCGGAAGACACCGGCAAGGAAGCCCCAAACCACACTCAGGTGGAAAAGACTCAGAAGGTGTCCTGTTCTTTGCAAAAAACCGTGTCTTTCCTTTAGAATCATCAGTACAGATTTCTGCTCTCAAGTCTTTCCAAGAGAAGAGATGGTGCGATTCCGCAGCACCAGGCAACTGAGATGGAGCATTGTGCCCGCACAACTTAATTCCAGTCAAATGTCTTTTCCTGAGGCTCTCAAGAGAACAAATATCTTTCTGGAGAAGGGTATTTAATTGCTCGGGTTTTTATTCCGGACCCTTGGTAGCTAACTGGGATCCTGCAGAGAGAGGCCTCATGGACAATAGGTCTCTGTGGAGGAGCGAGCTCAGCTCTAGTAAAGGCAGCTTTGAGGGAAGCCGGGGCTTGGCTGCCAAGACTTTAATGAATTACTTTAGATATTCTCTTCTGTGTTCAGAAATTCGGGAAAAAAAGAATCTATGCATAGAGCACATGGTGGTTGGACATTAAAAATCTGCCTCACACTCAAATGTCACACATTTCTTTTTAAGGGTCCAAGTGCTGTTTATGGAACACAAAAAGCTCATTATGAAGTCAACATATACTTCTGAATGAAAATCTCTCCGTAATTGATATGTATTTCTTTGTCATCAATTTCCCTAGAAAACAAAGTCATATGATTGACAGCTTTGGAAAAGATAAGTTTAGTATTAAGAATTTTTTCCCCTGAGGCTGGTTAATGGAAGTTTCCTGTTCAGGAGAAAGACAGCTGAACAAAAAAGGGGGATGGGTGGATAAAATATTCCATTATGCTTCTTTCTGGTTTTTGACTCTGGGATATTTTGGGCCAGTGTTGGAGAATGACCTTCATCCAGCAAAGGTTAATAAGGATGTAACTTTCTTTAGCAGTTTGCAGTCAGAAAATGCAATATAATTTCAAACCCTTGTGTCTACTAATAACTCAGTGTTTTGATTCAAACCACCCACGCCACTGTATAAAGTCTGTAAGAGAAAACAGATTGTCAACTGAAGGTGATAATCTCTCTTAAGGAAAAAACCAAAACAAAACACTTTACCAGCCTCTGAAACAACCATTATTCTGATAAAATTTTTGTTTTAAAAATGCCTTCATTTGGAAATAATCACAAAGTTAAAGAAAGAATTTTATCTGAATGATGAGATTAACATGCTCAGATGTCTACTTACCCCCTACATTAGTGTGTATGTATTATTTATGAATAATGAGATTAACTGATGGTCAGATGTCTACTTACCCCAATGCATTAGTGTGTATGTATTTATTTACAAACAAGAGCATTTTCTCAGCTATTATATTAACATCAGAATCAGGAAATTAACTTTAATACACCAGTGAGGTCTAAATTCACTCAGATTTATTCATTTGGGCTACTAGTGCGTTTGACAGGACAAGGGCCCAGGCGAAGGCTGTGTGGAATGTTTATCGTCATGTCTTCTTAGGGTCCTCTTGTTTGCACAGCCTGTCAGTCTTTCCTTGGCCTTCACAGCCTTCCTCCTTCTGGAGATTACACTTCAATTATTATGTGGTGTGTCTCCTGCTGGGTTTGTGTGATGTTCCCTCATGATTACATCCAGGCCATTTGTTTTTTCAGCTGATACTATTCTGGAATGACCATCTATTCTGCACTGATAGTGTTCACTTGACGAAATGGCATATTCCAGACTTAATAAGTATTTTGGAAGTTAGGCATCCTTTTCCTCATCAAACTTCCAGTTGATCTGTGTGGTGTACGTACCCTTATCTCTTCCTGCTGTTGGCTTCCTATTTCACCAGGTCATAGCGTCTTCCTGTTGTTCTTAATGTGCTCACTCAACAGATCCATTCCCAGGTAAGACGCCAGTCCTCGAGGTTAGCTGCTGCATGTTCTCCAAGATGGTTCTGTAAGGGGCCTCACATCCGATTTCCTAGTCTGGATCCCTCCTGCCCTTCCTACCCGATTCAGATAGCCTCTGATGCGACATCGTATGCTGGGGACATACCCTGGCCTAGATTCTTTCTTTATCCTGTTTGAACTTGCTGGCATCTAGAATGTTGACCAACACCTGCTCTCAGTTCTACCTGCGCAGACTTTTCCTTGCCTGACCCGATGGTTTCAGGAGGGGCTCATTCAGAAAGAGAAGGGGAGGGAGCGAAGAGTAGAAAGGGAAGGAGGAGAATGGAAATTTGTGTAAGACACAGTAAGCAGACTGGAAAATGATATATTTTAATAATAATCAGATCAGCCGCTTAAAACGGAATGATAGACTCTAAACACCACTTTTGTTTTTATCGAAAATAGATTTTTTTCATAAACTATATTCTGATTATGGTTTCCCTTCCCCCAAACTCCTCCCAGACCCTCCCATCTCCTTACCCACTCAAATCTACACCCTCTCATGCTCTCTCTCATTAGAAAACAAGAAAGCATCTAAGATAGATAAATAAATAAGATAAAATAAAAGAAACAAACCAGAATATGACAAAACAAACAAATGTGTGTGTGGGGTAAAAAAAGCACAAGGCACACACACACAGAAATTCCATAAAAGCACAAAATTGCAAACCATATTATATAAGCCAAAATGGTTGAAAAGTTCAAAAGTGTGCAGAACTTTCGGGAGGTATCCTTTTAACCCCCATCTTCCTTTTGATTTCTAGGATGTAAGTATGATGGTTGAACGGTCACTATCACCTTGACCCATGAGGACAAATGTTTAGTCAAAGTCTGATAGAACACGAGCTAAAATGAGCTCAGGCCCTGGGGACTGCAGGAACCTGCCCTCTGAGCTTTGGACTACCCTCCCCCAGGTGGGTGAGGAATAAAACCTCTGCGTTTCATTTATGGTTAATTCTGGTTTTTATTAACTCCTTGGGAACTCAGCTCTGAGTGCCAGTCCAACATCAACCAAGAGGAACTGTTCCCTCCTGACTGGTGCAAATGGGTTTTGGAAAGTCATAGTGACTACCTTGGTAAATATTTACTTCGTAAATATATTTTCTATTTCTATTAAGAGTAAATTTCAGTCAGGCTTGGTGGCTCACGCCTTTAATCCCAGCACTCATGAGACAGAAACAGGTAGATCTCTGTGAGTTCAAGGTCAGCCTCATCTACAGAGCGAATTCTAGGACAGCAAGGGCTGTCAACAGAAAATGTCTCAGGAAAAAAAAAGTAAATTTTAATAAGAAAGCAGCATTCTTAATACCTACATAACAAACCACCTCATTGTAAAGGACTATTGTATTTTTGGTCCAGACTTTAATTATTTTCTAGGCAGTGCAGATGAATTTTGTCATGTACTATCTAGAATCTAATGTTTTTAATTGACTTCTATGAATTTCAAGAAGTTCTTGACCATACTTTCAAAGGCATAATTCCCCAAATGCCAAGTTTGCTTCTGGTTTTTAAAGTTTATCTTATTCAGTACATATGAGTTTATTTAAAATACGTTCTTTTAGACCTACCCTTAAAGAAAACTGGCTCTCTCTTCCCAGAAGTCATCAGCTGTCAAGAGTTCATGTTCCCTCCCACTCCTATGCTGGCGGTGTTGATGGCCTGATCTTTTAGAGGTCTTGTGCAGCCAACCAGCGCTGCTGTGAGAACAGCACCCATGCATGTCAGGGAGATGCTGTTCAGGCTCAGTCCTTGTGCCCTCTGGTTCTTACAGTCTTCCCTCAATGGTCTTTAAGCCTTGGAGGGAAGGGGCTGATTGGGTTCCAAGACTTGGGGAAACCATCTCTGAGATCCAAGCCAGAAAACAGCCTGCACTCTAAGACAGATCCTCAGGGTAATTCTGGTACCCATACTTGTGAAATCGCAACTTTGAGACCTAAGTGAAGAAAACATTCTTCAGGTTATTAATACAACCATACACTCTCCCAGGCGCCCTCTTCAGCCATTGGTGGGGCAGAAGAGGCACCTCAAGACTCAAAACTGAATTTCAATATCTCAGAAATCTACCTCAGGTGCAATTAAATGCGTTAGCAATGACACAGTAGGGTCAGGAAGGCTGCAGTGTGAGGAGGAGGCTCTGTGGAGCAGGGCTGGGCTCACCTGGGAATTGTTCTAGGCAGGAGGAGAGTGGGAACATCCCACAGGGTCTAGGAGTTCAAGTTCTAGGTAGAAAGGGCTCAGGGTTGGGCAAAAAGACCAGGCAGTTTTTTTTTTCTAGGGCAGTAAGTTGTTGGTCTTCTTCCTTGAGATATGAGTTTTGTTTTGACACCAAGTCTCTCTCTCTCTAGCCCAGGCTGACTGTGACCTCGAAGCTATTCTCCTGCCTCAGCTTCCCAAGTTCGAGGATTGTAAGCATGTGACACTGTGTACGATAAGGCTGTTTCAGTTTTAGCAACAGTAATTAATAACCAGGAGTTGACGTACAGGGTGGATGACATGTCACAGGGCCAAGCATACTACGGTGAATTATTTGAGCAGAGTAAGCCCGAGTGCTAGATTATGAAAACGCTGGATTTACTTGTAGAGGAACCCTGGAAGAACGAAAGTGCCCACAAAGCTCTTCAGTGGCCATTCCACGACAACCAGCTTCCTCAAGCCAGTTAGTTACTGCAGGGACGGAAAGACAGAGAACCCAAGCTGGCAAGCTAACCCTCCTCCTCGATGTCACCACACAGTTTACATGCTCCCTGCTGCTGTTTATTACTGAAACGCTACAGCTAAAAACACGGTAGCCTGCTCAGTAGAACTGGCCCAAGACACCAGGGGCTTTTGTGGTAACCCTGGATCTCCTCCAGTGACCCAGCCCTAGCTAAGTGGTGGAAATGACCTGAGTCTGGAGAAGGAAGCCTGGCCCGTGTTGATGATCGGTCAGGGAGCCGCAGGCTAAGCCACCCGGCCGGTCGTCAGGGCCTTGCTGGCACAGGCTGCAGCCTGGGCGGGGCGGTGCTCGGGATCTCCAGGCTGGACCGCCCAGAACCGAAAGCAGCTGCGGGGAAGCGGGGAGGAAGGAGAGGAGGCTGCAGGGCTGGGAGGTGGGCGCCGGGCCCGGAATGTCCGCCCGCCCGGTGCTTGCAAAGGGCCATGGCTCTGCGGCTGCTCACCCACTTCGACGTGCGGGCGGACGTGCTCCCGAGTCTGGCGGCCGAAGCAGGCGACACAGGTGCGGGGCGCTCGCCCTGGAGGGGGCGCGGGCCGGGTGCCAGGCATCCGCCGGAGGTTCCGGGGCTCTGTGGAGTGGGCACTGTCCCCGCGGGGACGCATGGGGCTGCCCCGCCTAGACAGCGGCACCCGATGCGTGTCGCCGCGAAGTGGAGGCGGGAGGCAGCGGGATGGTTCGCCCTCGCCTGACCCCAGGGCTCAGCTAGGACCAGGAGAGCCTCTAAGGGTAGGGTGACCTAGCGTGGTGGTCAAGAAAAGGACCTTTAAAGCGTCATAGCCATCGCATCGCTTGTCCCAGCGAGGATGCTGATCGTTCCCAGAGCCAATCTGTTTGTAAGAAGGGCAATCCAGTGGTTTAACTCGCTTCTTTTAAAAGACGTTTGCTGCACATCTATGGAACAGATTTTGTATTCCCGGACAACTCTGGTGCTTCAGGGAACATGCCCCTCCAGGTGTGTTGCAGAGACAGAGACGGCAGGGTGTCCTTTCATGATGCACGGGGCGAACTGAGCGTCTGCAGGGCTCCAAAGGCATAGCAGCCGGCTCTAGAGCCACCAAGCACACACCCAGCACCCGCCCCACCCCACGCCTGGGCCACAGGCAGCAGGGAGGATGCTCAGCTTCTTGCTCGAGCCTCCCGGTCATTTGGAAGTCGTTCCTGACGCTGAGGCTCTTCTGGTGAGGGAGTGGAAAGTGACTTTTGTGCATTCCCAGAATTGGTCCACCTGAAAGAAGAGGGTCTGTAATTTCTTAGTTTTTCCTTTCTTTTTAAAGGCCGTAGATAAATAAGGATCTTCAGGGCTTACCGGCACCGCTGGGTCTCACCTTGTGCATCGGAGCTGTACCTGCGCTGCCGGTGTGCTCGCCTCTTTCTCTCTCTGGTTTGCCTTAAACTCTACACACTGCCAGTGGATTACAGGGGGCGGCAGGGGTGGGGGTGGGGTTGGATTGAATTACCCATGCATACAATTTCTTTCCTCTGAACTCTGTGAAAGTTATATCTATGTGATTTCTGTGCTTAGCACAGGAACATTTGTAGATTCCTTTGTCTCTGCACATCACAAACAACTTTATAACTTTGGGAAAGTGTGTGGCTTCCTCTCCATTTGCGTTTTAAAGCTTTTGAAGGTTTAACTTTTTGAAATATAAGCAACTCCAAGTCTGTTTCCCACCACAAAAATGGTCCTTTCCCAGTTCCGCTTTGTTTTGCTCAATGGCAGGAGATTGCAGATTAGAAGCTGGGTGAGTACAGGGTGCCACCGTCTTCCCCGTTGCTGTAGTGTGTGCCCAGCTGGGTTGGGCTTCCTTACGTCTTTCACTCATTTTCACTCGCTTCCATCCAGCGTGAAGAATTAGAAGCCTGTGTATTGGTGTTTGAGTAAAAATCTAGGGTTTTTTTTTTTTTTTGGCATTGTATTTTGCTGTTTCTCAGGACACTGTGGTAATTTATTAGTCCTGTGATTCCCATAGTCTTATTGCCTTTGATAATCACCACTGAGTGGTAGCTTAAAACAAACAAAACTTGGGGCGTGATGAAATGCTTGCAGCACAAGCATGGGACCCAGGCTTGAGGCCCAGCACCCACAAAAGGGGCAGCACATGTGTACTTCCAGGGTTGCTAAGACAGAGGCAGCAGGACCCTGAGGCTTGCTGGCCAGCCAGTCCAGCTAAATTCCTAAGAGCCATCAACATAACACAGGCACATGAGATGGGACCACACACACAGACACACACACACACACACACACACACAGACACGCATGCACGCACGCACCTCAGCCTTTGCAGCAAAACCTGGAATTAGACTTTACAGTGCAAGCCATTACTAAACATGCTTATGCAAATTAGTTACACTACCAGTGACTAGGTGTCTGCTTCCTCCACACTAAACTTTTAGATTAGGGAGTCTTAATATTCTCCCAAGTTACAGCCATTTATTGATTGTTGTGTATGTGTGTGCATGTGCATGTGTGTGCTCAAGTGTGTGTGCATATGTGTGTACACTTGTGCTTGAATATGTGTGCATGTGTGTGCACATGTGTGCTCGAGTTTGTGTGTACACGCGTGTGTGTACATGTGTGCTCAAGTGTGTGTATGTATGTCACAGCACACACGTGGACATCGGAGGACAACTTTTTCAGAGGGCAGTCCTCTTCTCCCAGGCTGTCAGGCACCTTGGTTGCTGAGCACCTCACTGGCCCTGTTATATTTTTACATCAATGAATTGAAGACTTTCCAGTGACACTAAGCAATTCTCATGAAACGTGACGTATCCTTGCCAAAATAGCCAGTGAGCTTGGCTATACCCACCAGGGAACATTGGTGGCCGTAGGTTAGCAGTATAGTCAACAAGGGCTTGTGGGGTAGGAGGCCAGATATGACTATTGTGTCTGCTCTTGATTCTGTGTTGAACTTGGGAGCATGGTCTGTCCTGAAACAAAATGAGAAATTAGTTACTTAAAATGCTGTAACACGTGTTACCTCTGAATAGTGACTTTTTAAAAGCCTATGCACCTACTATCCAACTACAGAGTGAATAATAGCAGAACCTTTAGGCTTTGTGTGCAGGAACCTTTATATGATTCTTCATCTTAATCCTCCAGAAATGGCTACCTAAGTATTTATATTGTAACATTCTTCTCATTTTATTAGCAGCTTTAAGCCCATTTTTAAAATCTGAATTTCAAGTAAATGAAAAGCATGCTATACTTTACTTCAATGTCTTCTCAGTATTGTAAGATGTATTCAGGTCTAATGTTTACACGGAAATCACCATTTTTCACCAGACACAGCATTTCATAGTGTGGACTATCCTTTCAAAGAAGAGCTTTCCTGGGTGTTATGAGCATGGTCAGCTCCTTCAGGGACGGACTAGCTTGGTTTCTTCAACTGCCGGCATCTGGGGAGGCATCACAGTAGTTTATGAAAGGCTTGACTGTTTTAATTCATGTGAAACTACTCTGGCAACCAGGTTGACTTCCGGACCCCCACCCTAACCCCGCCCCGCCCTGGGCAGGCTTCAGGATAATCTGAGGCTATTGGTCCTGCCTGGGTGCTTGACTCCTCCTCCTGCCGGAACCTTCTTCCTTCTGTCTCTTACAGGCAGGCGTAATCCCACAGGAGGAAGCATTTCTTGGGAAGCTGCCTCTGGAGAGGCAGGGGTGACATTTGGGAGGCCCCGAGTTGGCCATTCCACTTGGTGTCTTTACTAAGCTCTTGTATGGCTCTGGGACAGGTCTAAAGAAGCACAAATTAAAGTGTTGTCAGGGACCATCTGTGGAATTCTAGAAAGAACATGAATTTTCTTTCCTGCGCTTCCCTCTGCTTTGACGAGGCTCGAGTTTGTGACACACCAGATTGATCTTAAATCTCATATTCTTTGCACGGAGAGGGATGTATTTTGCCAGGCCACTGACTTGAAAGCCAGATTTTCTTTATTCCCTCTCGTATAGCATCCTGCAGACTGACCTGGGCACGTGAGGGTGGCCTTAGTCTTGTTGTTTCCTGTTTCCCTCGCTGCTGTCCTTGCTGTTCACGTTTCCCTCCCGTGTCCCTAGCCTTCTTTTTCTGATTCTGAGTTCTCTTCTTATTGATTCCTAGCGAATTGCCTCATGCTGGCTCCTTCTCATTTCGCAGACACTGCATCACAGTGTTCCTGATTTGGGACTATAAAAGCTGAACCCGAGAGACTAGATAGATAGTCCACAGACTAAGAGAAGTCCTGGTTCACTTCCCTTTGACCTGTGTGTTGGAATCTGGCTCCCAGATTTTTGTAAGACTGTGACTCCCCTGTCCAAGTGCTGTCATTAGGATGACAAGATTATTTCAGTTTTTGTATCATAGCAGTTTGGACTAACGTTTATACATTTGTCAAACCTCTTCTGGTAACATGAAATCACTCCACTTTAGCAAGGAATGGTTGAAACGAACAAGACTGTTTGGGAAGCCATAGTCTGTTTCGCCTTATCTCAGACATCACAATACTTTGTGTGTTTCAGATTTTCTTTAGCAAGCTTACCTCTGCAAGTAACTTCCTTATCAAAATGTGTTATTGTGATCCCAGAGTGTACTGAACTGTAAAACTAAACCATATTTCCTCATTTGGAACTGCTAAACTTCCTCCTCCGGACTTTCCAGAGACGCTACTGGGGGAAGAGTCAGAATGAATAAATAAGCAGACACATTACAGAATGCTTCTTAGAGAAGGGTGTGTTCAAGCATGAGCACAGGGAGGATGGGGCAAGAGGTGAGTGTGTGGTGAGACATCATTCTAAATTTCCAGTATTGCCAAATGCATCCATTTCACACACCCTTGAAATGAAAGCCACAAGTCCAACTTTGGTTAGCTCTAGCTAATGTGCTCACAAAGACATTTTTGTTTCTTTCAATCCTGTGTGCTGTGGCTGCACCATGTTCTGGTCAAAGTTCTAGCTATGGTAGCTAATAAATGTACAATGAAAAATATCTAGAGGAACTTGACACACGCAAAAGAGTGGTCTCCACACTAGTCTCTTAAAAAAATCAGGTGGTGGCGGCCCATGCCTTTAATCCCAGCACTCCAGAGGCAGAGGATCTCTGAATATGATACCAGCCTGGTCTACAAGAGCTAGTTCCAGGACAGACTCCAAAGATACACAGAGAAACCCTGTCTCGGAAAAAAAATCGGAATATCTTGAGTCAGTAGGTGAAGGCACTTGCCTCCACGTCTGCTGACCTGTGTCCCCCAGGGTGCAAGGAGGAAACCAACTCCTATATATAAGGCGTCCTCTGCCACACGAGTCTCCTGCTCTCATTCTCACTTCCTCCCTCTCTCCCTCTCCCACACCGTCCTCACACATCGAATAAACAAATAAAATGAGTATGTATTTTTAAAAAGGAGAATATCTTGGTTCTTGCTTGGAGCATCAGCGTTCCTTTAAAAACTCCCCAAATGTTTCTAATACAGGCAGAGCTGAATGCCCATGGTGTGTATATGTACTTATGCATGTCTATATGCACACACACACACACACACACACACACACACACACACACGATAATTATAACCTGTATTTGGTGGAGCATTTCTCAGTGGTTTAAAAGTAGATGCTTGCCAAAATTTTTTTTCAAGACTTCTTGTAAAGGAATTTCTTATCTTAGCTGAAACTTTAAGTATACTTTTGTAAAGGTCTGTCCCAGCATCCTTATACTCTTGAAAGAAAAAAATTCTCAAAATATTGACACGTTGCATTCTGGAAGCTTCGCGTCATTGCAAGATGGGAATGAGCTTGCTCAAAGCACACCTCTTCAGCTGTTACAGAATGCTCTGCAAGGTGATTAATTCATCTTCCCGTTACGTCTGACACAGGGCACAAGCTCACTGTTCCCTTTGTCCCTTTGTGGTTTGAGATGACCCTGCACTGTTTCCTCACTGTGTGGGATGGGCCCGGGGTCCTCATCTTGCTGAATTCAGCTGTCCTTTAAGTGCGATGGGTCTGTAAAACCCGAGCCCAAGTGTGTGTGGTGGAGATGAGAACACACTGGAAAGTGCTACTTGGCAGTCAGCTGACTGAAGCTCGTTCTGCTGTAAGCCCAAACGATTATGCATACATTTTAAATCAGTGGGAAGGGATCCGACAGTAGAAACATGTACCTGCCTATGAACCCCACTTCTGCATCCTGGCTGCAGAACTCTTACACAACCGTGTCTCATGACAGACAGGAAGAGAGGCTTCAGGGTTGCGGCCGAGCTTCTGTGAAATCTGCGCTTCCTCCCCGAAACCAGCTCCAGCTCTGGCGCTCAGTTCTCCCTTACCCTTGCTTCTATTCTGCTCTTCCTTTGCTTATTGATTAGAAGTGCAGACACAATGAGCTGTTGTAGGGTGCTTTGCATGCTTCATGTAAACATTTGAATTTTCCATAACCAATGTGATACTGTTTTAATGTCTGGATAGTCTATTTGTATATGAGCAACCAAGTTTAAGCAATTTAATTGTGAACAGCTTTGGAGGACGCTAAAAATACCAGTTAATCCTCAGTTAATGATAATCAAGAGTACTCTACACACCACTGTTCATTTAAATCCTTTACCTGTAGAATCAAGACTGTCCTAAAGACGGTAAATGAAGACGGGCAGTTAAACTTTAAGTTAAATGTTTTGTGTAAAGGTCTTTGTTCCTGCTCTAGAAGATGAACTTGTTTACTGGAGAGTAAATAAGACACGCGGCTCAGTCACTTTCCCTAGAGTAAAGCCCCCAGAGCCAGAGCTCAGGGCAGGAGAGGACATGAGCTTCACCTAGGTCCTCCGTGCTCCGAGGCAGTTGTGCATGTAGCTTCAGAGACTGAGTTCGTCAGTTCCAGAAACATATCGATCCAGTAAAGTAGTTGGTTTTCAGTGCTTTCTCACACCGCAATGCGGCAATGCGTGCAGTTGCAAACCTGTGCTTGGACAGCCTCACAGGAAATCCCCCTTCCTGGCTGTACCCTCTGCAGGGAAATGCCATCAGGTGGCAGATGTCCTAGGTCTCACACACCGCTGCATCAGGCCATGAGGTTGGCTCCTGGCAGAGACCTCTCTGCAGCCCCTTCAGGACGAAAGGGTCTCAGCTCAGACAGTGCTTTTCCCCTCCTCTCTTTCTCCTCCGGGGTCCTTACTACACAGAAACCTCTCTGGAGGTGGGGGTGGGGGGGTTCCTGATAGCAAGAGAAGAGCCGTTTTCTGAATAGTAACATCTGCGCTATCTCAGCATCATTCTCCAAACACAGTGTCCCGTGAGGCCGGCTGCACAGGGATGTCTGCGCTCTCTGGTTTGCCTGTTTCCTGGTGTGTACGTGAGTGCAGTGCGTGTGCGCATGTGTGTAGACACAGGCTAGCAGAGATGTGTCCTGCTCCACGGTACTCCATCTTTCTCGAGACACGGTGGGCCTTTCCCTGAAGCTGGCACTCACTCACTGCTATCCTGGCTGGCAGCCAGCTAGAGGGCCCATCTGAGTCTCCCGCTCCAGCCAGAGAGTTGCAGATATGTGCTGTATGCCTGGCTTTTTACATAGGTCCTGGGGTCTGAACGCAGGTCTGCATGCTTGGTTGGCTGGCACTTTGCCGACTGAACCATCTCCTCAGTGCCCTGCTTTGAAAACTCTTATTATTTTAATTTATTGTTCGAACACTTGGAACTCAGCCGAGCACCTGGCAGGGGTGAATCCAGCAGGAAAGTGTAAGAGTTTGACGTTGGTATGTAGCCTCAGAATGCATAGAGAAAAGCTACTATACAACTGAAATAATTTCGATATGACATACAGAAGAGTCTATAACAAGAGGTCAAGAGGGCATAGCCCAATGAGTGTCTCCACAGCTTCTCAGTGTGCTCAGAGCTCGCCACCCCCTCGCCCCTCCACTTCCTTGACTTCTAATGGGACAGATTATGTTTGCCTGCTTGTAAACTCCATATAACAGAGACAATAGCTTACAGTTTTTATCTTGATTTCTTTCAGGAATACTGTATTTGTTGGATATGTTAAAACCATTTTCTGAATATTAGCCTTCCATTATATATTCCAGGTGTTTTAGAAACAGCTTATGAGAGTTTACGTGTACTAAACATTGAAAGAAATGGAAACATTATTTATACCTATAAGGTAAGTCCATGTTGTCTTCTTATTGCAGTAAATATGTACAACATAGAGTTTAAAGTTTTAGCCATTTTTATTAGTCTTTTATAGATTTTTTTTGAGACAGGATCTCAGAACGTAGTCACAGCTAGCCCAGAATTCACCATGTGCACCAAGCTGGTCTCAAACTCACAGATCTCTGCCTGCCTCTACTTCCCCAGTGCTGAGACTGACTTTACAGAATCTGTACCCCACTTTATTGAAGGGCAGCAAAGACTTGTTGGTACTTAACCTTTAAGTACCTTGACTTCTGTGTAGGTGATATTGAAGAGTGACTGACAGTCCATCTTAAGAAATATTTTCTCTTTGAAAAATCAGAGAAAACTACATATCTGAAATTCAAAAAAATTAGAATGGATGGATAATTTCATTTTGTAGAGGGGAAAAAAGGTCAAGATATTTAAACCTAACTAGTATGCTAAAATTTTGTCTTTGAGAAAATGTTAACTATGGCTACTGTGTACATACAGATGTAAATTTAACCGTAGTTGACACTGTGGGTGTTCAACAACATCTTTGGAGTTGCACATCTAAGGAAAATTTATTCTACTGACAAATCTGCTAATAGGGACACATGAAGGAATAATTCCAGCAGCTAGTGACATTTGTCCCACCATACTTTGTTTCCCTGTTGATTAAAACTTTATTAAGTTATATTTAGAGATTTTGTATTTAAAGATTCAATTTTACCTATAAGAATACTGAGGGCTTGTTCAGTTACAGTCTGCCATATTTATTCTCTTAAGGACACATCTGGAGGCTCATGCTGAGGCCTCCTAGCCAGTTCCCAGATCCTCTCAGCTGCTCAGTGGTGACCCATTGCCTCTCCAAGTCCCAGGGACTAGCTGAGTTAGATCTGGTCCTTCTGAATATACACAGCAGGCTTCCTTTAGTGTGCGTACTGCTAAAATGGTTAGAGTCATTTTAGGTTTGTTTCAAAACCTGTGACAACCTGATTTCCTAAACAATGACACTAATAAACATCTACTTAATTTTTAGGATAATAAGGGAAATGCTGTCTTTGGAATCTATGACTGCCAAACCAGACAGAATGAGGTAATTGCAGATTTTTCAGTTGACTCTATTTTCTTTCTTTCTGCCTCCTCTGTTTTTTAGATATACACTTCAGTTTTATTTTCTGAAGGCTTATATAATTTCATTTCTTCCCTTTTCCTATTTCTTTAGTGGTTTTATCCATGTTACAAAAAAAAAGTATAATGACAGCTGAACCAAAGTGACACACACAATCTTAGTTCTTTGAAATTTAACCTAAGTTGGCTCAGACTAATTTAATAATATTAAGGGGGAAAAATAAAAGTAGGAAGTCCATTGCTTCCCCCAGACCTGTGTGTGGCTCCTAGGCCTTTTTCATAATGACCCTTGGCTCTGAGTTCCGGTTCTGACTAACTTTCACGTCATTGTTTTTATTCATTTTCAGGAGCAATCCAGGTTTGGAGCAGGTTCCTTAATTTTCTCCAAAACCACTCCTGTTAGTTCCTGGTCAGTGTGGACAAGTTTTGTCTGATCGGGACATCAGGGTGGGAGGGTAGTCTGCGCTTACATATGAACAACCGAGAAATCAGATCTCAGTGGCCCGTGAACTTAAATGTCTTTCATTCATTCAGAGTTTCTCACAGGCTTCCAGTGTGGTCCATTCTCTTTTCCTGTCACCCACCCCTTCCCCCACAGCTGTTCACTCACTTGCTCATCTGTTTATTCTCTGATTCAGTAACCACACAAGCCAGTGTTCCGCTTGTGACCAGGGCAAAGCCTGTTGAAATACAGTCTCGGGGAAGAGGCAAGTAAAACGGGGGGGGGGGCAGTGCAGCCCTTTCCTTGGCTTCTATACGTTCTGAATTTTACCGTTTCCCAGTTCCAGTGACACTCATGAGCCTTGTCTCGTAAGTCATTCACCTAGAGTTAGTTGTCTCCAGCTTATTTATGGGTTTATTTACTTTGTGTGTGTGTGTGCCTGTGTGAGATTATGTGCATCACGCACTGCCCATGGAGGCCAGAAGAGGGCACTGGATCCCCTGGGACTGGAGTTGGGAGCCACCACGTGGGTGCTGGGAACTGAACCTGTGTCCTCTTTAGGAGCAGTCAGCACTCTCAAGTGCTCCACCATCTCTCCAGCCACCCTCCCCTTAGAAAGACTTTTATTTACGTTTGTTTATTTTGTCTTATGGACCTTGGGACTGAACCTGTGGCCATCGTTCATGGTAGGTGGGTGCTGCAGCCTTCCCTTCTTGGCGCTTTTTCAAGACCTACATTTGATGACACACATTTACCTTTGTTGTCAAATATCATTTAAGAAATATGAACTGAGGAAAATCCACTCTCCGCTATAGTTTTTTCTCTCCATTGTTTCATCTTCCTCCCTGGTGTTCTTTTTTATTTTTCTTTTTTACATTTTCTCGGTCTTTTAAGAAATTGTTTTAGTGACAGTATTTTAGAGTTGGTGCGCAGGTCATACATTCTCAGCTGTCTTTACCTGAGCATTTCTTTCATTTATTCGTTTTGAAGGTTGGTTTTTGTCAAGTATAGAATTCAAGCTGACTGGTATTGTCTTTTGGTTCCTGAAAAAAACGTCTTCCTTCCTCCCTCCCTTCACGGTCTCTCGTGGGAAACCTGTCTCTTCAATTATTCTCCTCCAGTATTTAGGGTGTCATTTCCCCCAACCACTTTTGAAGAAGTTATTTTTTTCCCTTTGCCCTCTGTCTTCTGAAAATTTACTTGAGTGCGTCCCTATGGGTTTGTGATTTTCTTTTCTTTCTGTTTCATTTATTCTGTCTTTCACGTCACGCATCTCCATCCCATTGACCCCCCCTCCCTTTGTATCCACCCTCTGCCCTTGCAACCCCCCCCCCCCCCCCGAATAAAATGAAATGTAAGAGAAAAAAGAAAGAAAACAAAAGGAAAACCAATCTTATCACTGGAAGCTGTAGTGTGACACCATGAGTCACACAGGACACCTTTGTCTATTCCTCTTTACTTTAAGCGCTCATTGCCAAGAGTCGTTGGTCTGGTTCGAGGCCTCTGGCTTCTTTTACGCTATTGATGGTGGATCCTCACTGGACTCCTCTTGGGTATCCTGTTGCTGCCCTGTATCGTGAAGATCCTGTAGCTTTGGGTCTGCAGGGCTGGTCCCTTCGTATGCTGTAGATCATAGATGGGGTGGATGTTGGCGTGGGCCAACTCGTGACCCTGGCTCTGGGCCTGGGTAGTTCCAGGGTTGCTCAGCCCACCAGCCGTCCCTGTCCTGACCACCAGGGTGATTTCTCCAGTTCACCTTTGCATCAGTGAGCGAGGGCCGGGGCCTGCTCTCCTGCTCCTACATCTCCAGGGTTGGCTCTCCCACACCGGGACTTTCAGAGTCAGCTCTGCTGGTTGCCCAGGTGAGGCTCAGGGGCCACTCTCCCTAGTGCTGCAGCTGGTGAGGGGCGGGGCCAGCTCGCCTGCTCTTATGACCCCAGAGCCAGCCCTCCCTCCCTCCATTGTTTGGGTTTTCATTCAGCTTCTTAGATCTTTTGCCCAATTTGGGGCAATTCACTCATCAGCCACCATGTCTTCAAACACTTAACAAAAGTTCTACTTTTCTCTTGTTTTGGACTTTAATTACATCAGATTAGTTAATCATCTTTGTGATACTCAGCGTCTATGAGGTCCATCTCCTTTCCCTTGGTCCCAGCTTATTTATTTTGTGTTGTTCAGATTAGATGTTTTTCTAAGTGTTTAATAATAATTTCTTTTCTTTTTTTTTCAAGAAAAAACTTTTATTACTTTTTTTTTTTTTAGAAAAGAGCTTGCTTCACATGTCAATCCCAGCTCCTTCTCCCTCCCTTCCTCCCACACCCCTCCACCATCCCCCTCAGCCTCCCACCCCATTCCCACCTCCCTCCACACAGGGGATATTCAGTCTGTCACTTCCCTCAGGGTAGGGTTCAGGCACTCCCCTAAGAGTCCAGGCTGAGAGAGCATCCCTCTTTGTGTTATGGACACACGATGTCTGTTAGTATTCGAGGGATAAACACTGATCCACTGTCCAGGGCCCCATAGGTTGGTTGCCCAGGCCTCCTCACTGACTCTCACATTTAGGGGTCTGGATCAGTCCCATGCTGGCCTCCCCGCTGTCGGTCTGGAGTCCATGAGCTCTCCCCTGTTCAGATCAGCTGTCTCTGCTGGTTTTGCCAGCCCATTCTTTTCCCATTTGCTCTTCGCTCCTCTCTCTCTGTCACTGGGTTCCAGGGGTTCAGTTCAGTGTTTAGCTGTGGGTGTCTGCCTCTGCTTCCATCGGTTACTGGATGAAGGTTCTAGGATGGCATATAAGGTAGTTGTCAAGTTTTTTATCAGGGAGGGGCATTTAAGGCAGTCTCCACTATTGCTTAGCTTGCCAGTTGGTGTCATCCTTGTAGATCGATAGAGGTCTCACTGGCCCTGGATATTTTTAGTATGTTGTTATCATTTGATATTTTAAAAGTTGATTATTGTAATTTTCAGCAGTAAAATTTCTATGCCTTTTTAATGTATGTCCTTGTTAAGATTTCCATTGTTTTTATTCAATCACAATTTAAACTTCTTAATGAAGGCTGCTTTTTGTTTTCTGAAACCCTATCTGCTTTAAAATTTTTGCCACAACATCTACTATTTGCCACCCCCGTGTTTAATGTCTGTTTTTTTCTCACTCAAGCTGAAGTTTTCCTGTTCCTGGCATGACTCATAGTTTGAGTATCTCCCAAGAGACTCTAGGTCTTATTTAGTTTTCTGTTTTAGTGCCTCTCTGCTACAGAACTTGTTGAGGAATAAAGGGCACCACCCCACTCCTGCTATGTAGGAGTGAAGACTCAAGCTCCTTGACTTGGTTTCCTGTCATGACACTCGGCAAAGAGGGTCCCTGCTGGTGCTGGGTGGAGATGGGGTTTGTGGCTTCCTGCTAGTAGGTGTTAGGAGAGGTGGGGGCATAAGTCTTGGCTTCCTAGTCAGACCTTCTGACAGTGCCTCACTAGGGAAGGTCCAGGTCTCCTCAGTGCTGGGTCTGGGTGGATGTCCATAATTCCTACATAACTTTCTGTGTGTTGCAAGGAGGTGGATTTTTTCTTTTTCTTTTCTTTCTTTCTTTTTTTTTTTTTTTGAAGATAGGGTTTCTCTGCATTGTTTTGGAGGCTGTCCTGGAACTCATTCTGTAGACCAGACTGGCCTCGAACTCACAGAGATCCACCTGCCTCTGCCTTCTGAGTGCTGGGAGTAAAGGCGAGGAGGTAGATTTCTACGTTGTCTTGATTTCTACTTTTCCCACAGGAGTGGACAGTGCCTGGGGCATCTGGAGGGAGTGGGACCCTAGTCTTCCCACTCAGCCTTGTGGGTAAAGGGACAAGTGGGTCTGCATTTTCCCCAGACTGTTTTGCTAGAGTGGACTAGGCAGCACCTAACGGTCTGTCTTGCTAGATTTCTCATTTCTTTACCTGGGGGGGGGCAGTGTTTCTGTCTATTCCCGACATAGTTTCTGTCATAATCTCTTCTTTAGCTCAAGTCTAGAATATGTTATGCTTCATTTCTCAGAACTTGGAGTCCCCAGAGTCTGCACCCCTTCACCCCCTGGATGCTGTAGGCTGAACCCACAGACAGCTTTGTGTTTACGGTAGAACCATGCATCTAACTTGTGTTTTCTTTGCTCAACGTTCCAGGCTTCTTAGTTTCCTTTGTAGAGAATATTCAGGGATTTCAGTGGGAAGAACAGAGAGAAGTGAGACTCTTCATCTTGGTCTTGCCCTCTGCAGGTTGAAATGACTGGCTCTCCTCACGTGGTCAAATAGAAAGCAGCTCATTACCAACCCTTAAGTAGGCAAATTCTAACCCTTTCCTCCCTACCTTCCTCTGGTCTCTCTCTCCACCTCCACCCCTGCTAGTGGACCCTCAGAGCATGCAAGAGGGAATAAGACCTGCACTCGTGGGTTACAAGTATCTAACAGGCTTTCCTGGGAATCTGAGACTGTCCTGTTTCTGCTCATGTGGATTAGAACTGCCATGGCTTTGGGAACCAGAACTTGGGAGTTTCATTATGTGGAGGCTGATAATGTATTAAATCCAGAAAAATAAAAGAATAGGTATTTACAGTTCTGGTTTAAACCATTGCTAACATCCAGATCTGCCTTTTCCAGTTCCATGAGCCACTGTGTAACTGCTTCTTTGCAGAAACTAGTTTGGTGAATATTTTTTGATGTTTACAATTGAAGAATTCCATACTGTATTCCTTATGGCCCAGCAATTATTGCATAGGCTCGCAAAGACACGTTTGAGGTTTAATGTATCTCAGTGGCAGAGTACTTGCCCAGCTTGTACAAGCTCCTAGATTTGAGATCCAGCACTGGAAAATAATATACACAAAATATTATTTGGATCATTTTAGTACCTAGAAGTGGGAGCTAGCTTAAATTAATGCCCACTAATAAGTTATTTGGGAATAAATGCAATTGCTGAGGGTTAAACAGTCTTTTAAGCTGGGCTATGAGAAGGCTGACATGTCTTAGAAGGTAAAGTGCTTGCTGGACAAACATGAGTTCACATCCCCAGGACCCATGTGAAAAACAGCACCCGTGGTGCGTATCTGCAATCCCCAGTACCGGGAATGTGACAGGCAGGGTCCAGGGATTCTTGGGCCTGACTATCTAGCCAGATTGTTGGGTCATGATAGAAGAGACATTTGACCCTGACCACTGACCTTCACAGCACAAGCATAGGCATGTGTACTTGCATTATATATACATAACACACACACACACACACACTTAAATGTATACTGGCACAGAGGGTTCTCCAAAACCTTTTCTACGTGAAGAAAGGTATTTGATAGGGCAATACACTCCATTCATGTTAGAAAACTAAGAAACATAAGGGCACAGTATATATTGATATAACTTTAGAAAATCTGGAAGGCTACTGTACACATTACAAAATTACCTCTTGGAATGGACTTGGCATTGCCTGAGGTTTGAAAGGTTTGATGTTGTATTTGACAGCATTCACATCTTTTAAATATCAAGGTTACTCATGTGGGATTTCATAGTTAGAAGTATAACATACCAAAAATGTAGTGTGTAATCTATGATTTTTCTTACTTATAAATAAAAATCACTCAGAGCTAAGAATTTAAAAAGCAAAACTTTCAACAGGAATGTAGTAACTTCTTTATAAAAGAGTTTGTTATTAATTCTCTGTGTGTGTTTGTGTGGGTACATGCTCAGAATTGTCCAAGGAGGTATCGGATGCCCCTGGGTCGGACATAAGTGCAATTACGAGCTGCCTGATGTGGGTGCTGGGAACTGAACTTGGATCCTCTGCAAGAGCAGCTCATAGAGCTGAGCTATCTCTCTAGCCCCAAATTTCGTGTCTTCATATTAAGTCCACGCTCCCCTTCAGTAACTGTTTCTCGTGGAGATATGATGATGCAGTCATAGTGTGGCCTCGGCCCTCAACCCACACATCACACTTTCCATCTACACGACTGTTTATTTTCCTTAGCATTGTTGAAATGGGCTCTTTTGACCCCCACCGCCAATGTTGTCTAAGACAGGGTCCCACTCTGTGTAGCTCAGGATGGCCTCCAACTTGTAACCCTTCTGTCTCAGCCTCTGGAGGGTTGGGGTCACTGGTGTGCAAACATGACTGGCTTCTCTTGATATCTTGAACGTTTCAGACATTCATAAAAAGGAACGATTAAGGAAAGGTAGAAGATTCTTTAGTCACTTCTTTATACTTATGACACACGATGGTATCATAGTCAAGCGTGTGTCTAACTAGAGGTTTTCTCATCTCACACTTACAATGCTAACATTAGAGCTCATTATGACAGTGTACATCATCATACTAAGTCCCTCTTCATCCTCACAATAACCAACCCCACGAGATACCCTGACCACACCACTCCAGTGTTTCTCAGACCTCATAATAACATGAGATACACATTATAGTCCTCTGCTAACTACGATGGATAGGTAACATGAATAAGTTGTCCAAAGTCACCCAGTTGGAAAATAGCAGTCAGGATTTGACCATGGGCCTAGCTTAGTTTCAAAGTTTGTGTTCTGAATCACACTGTTTTGTTGTCTCATAGCTAAGTTTCAGTGCCAAATGTGGCATAAAATATTAAACATTTTCCTTGAAAAATAATCCAGACCATATTAGCGTAGACAGTTCACTGAGGGTCCTTTGGAAAATGTTTTGCTAAACAATTCGTAATATAGGCTGGGCATTGGTGGCACATGCCTTTAATCCCAGCACTAGGGAGGCAGAGTTCGAGGCCAGCCTGGTCTACTAGAGCTAGTTCCAGGACAGCCTCCAAAGCAATAGAAACCCGAGAAACCCTGTCTGGAAAAACCAAAAACAAAAAAAAACAAAAAAAAAAAAAACAAAACCAAACACACACACACACACACACACACACACACACACACACACACACACACACAATGCGTGGTATAAAGTTTAGTAGGAACTTAGCTTCATACAATTGTTGTTTGCTATAACCATCCTTTTTGGTCATTTTAATAGCATCTGTATACCTTTGAGAAGGACATGCAAGCCGTCAGCTGCTCTGTCAACAGCGAGAGAACTTTGCTTGGTGAGTTGAGATCTCATTGCTGAGGGGGTGGGGGTAGAATAGGGGGAAGAGGGAATCATAGGATCGAATACAGATCAGGCATCAGAGCGACCTCGAGTGATCTAAAGGGATAACACCAATTGGCAAGCTAAGCAATAATGGAGAGACCACCTCGAATGCCCATTCCTGATAATGAACTTGATGTCTATAACCATCCGGGAGCCTTCATCCTGTGACTGATGGAAGCAGAGGCAAACACACAATTAATCGCTGAACTGAACCCAAGGAACCCAGTGACAGAGAGAGAGGAGTGATGAGCAAATTGGCAAAGAATGGGCTGGCAAAACCAGCAGAGACAGCTGATCTGAACAGGGGAGAGCTCTTGGACCCCAGAGCGACAGTGGGGAGGCCAGCATGGGACTGATCTGGACCCCCCAAATGTGAGTGTCAGCGAGAAGGCCTGTGCAACCTATGGGGCCCTGAGCTGTGGATCAGTGTCTATCCCTGGTATACAAACAGTCTTCGTGTGCCTATAGCACAAAGAGGGATGCTCTCTCAGCCTGGACTCTTAGGGGAGTGCCTGGACCCTACCCAGAGTAAAATGACAGACTCTAGATATCCCCTATGTGGAAGGATTTGGCAATAGGGTGGGAGGATGGGAGGGGGGAAGGGGGAGGGGAGTGCGGGAGGAGGGGAGGGAGAGGGAACTGGGATTGACATGTAAAACAAGCTATTTAAAATTAAAATTAAAAAAAAGAGCTACATCTTTTAAGTTGAAGTGTTTGGATTTTGCAATATTTGATTATAACAACTTTCTGGAAAAATGCATGTTCTAGGTAAATCAAGTTTGAAATTGAGAATCTGTAGGGAGGGCACACCTACGGGAATGAATGCTTTGTGTCATTCAGTGTTACAGAGACAGGTCTTTAGAACTCTCATTTATTCCAGGTAGAAAACGATAAACTTGAACAAGCGGCCATGAGGAGCAGTTGTTAATTGGGTCTTTTTTCTTTTCCATTAGCTGCAAGTTTTGTTCAGTACACTAAAGAAGGAGTGAGGAGTGAGCTTCATCCAGGTAATGGAATTATTCTTCTTTTGTATGTACTGATAATAAAGACCTGCTGGACTAAGCCACATTCCAAGCGTTTCAGAAATGCCTTTATCTTAGAATAAAAAGACAGCAGCCATTTAAGCACAAGCAAGACTTAAAATTTTGTTTCTCAAGTAGGCAAGAAGGTGCAAAACATAGTGTAATGAAAATTGTAGACAATGAGATGATAATTAGCACTTGGATGCTAAATGAACATGGAGAATTTACTTGACTTCCATGGCCAGACGCTAATGTAAATGGAGGAAACTTATAGTACTATTAAAAATATGGTGAAATATTGATGAATCTCTAATGCATTGTGGATAGTCCATAAATACAATATAAAACACAATCTGTTCATTTACAAAAACCTATTTTATAGTTTATTAGCTATGTGGAATCTCTTCACTTTTTAAATTCATAACATATTCAACGGTGTTGACCGCGTATGGTCAGGCCCCCTGCATGCTGCTGGAGATATAACTTTAATGAAGGGTGGAGGTGGCTGTCTTCATGGAGCTTTCAGCCTAACACCAGGTTTCAATTACAAACGAAAAATCCCGTGGAAGAAACATGAAGTGTCAGGCTTGTGACATAGCTCAATCAGAGAACCCTGAATTCAGTCTTTAGAATCCATGTATACGTAGCTGGGTATGATGGCGCACACTTGTAATCTCAGTGCTATGGGGGTGGAGATAGGCCTTCCCCGGGGCACACTGGCCAGTCAGCTTAGCCTCACGAAATAAGGCAGACGGTACCCGAGAAAGGACACACACATTTGACCCGTGGCCTTCACATGTGCACATTAACGCGTGTGCTTGTACGGATGCACACCCACATAAGAAAGGAGAGTAAGATGTTTTCACTGCTTCAGACTCTAGATATCCCCTATGTGGTTAAATATTACACTGTGTCTGGTTTGTATGCCTGCATGCGTATGGGCTTGTGTGGCGGCCAGAGGACAACTCACGGTAGCTGGCTCTCTCCTCAGGCCGATTGGGTCCTGGAGATTGAATTTAGGACTCAGGCTTGGCAGCCGGTCCTTTGCCCGCTGAGTCATCTCACTGGCCTCGCTGTTTCCCGTGTTAGCACAGAAATATTTCAGTTGCCGAATGAAATGTGTTCAACGGCCACAAGGACTAGGGATGGGTGCAGGGTCTTGACCCCTGGGAAATACCAAAGGACGAGCCATAACTTAGTTTAGATTTTTGTTGCTGCAAAGGGCAGTTAAGTTCACTGGGGCCAGCTTTGCAATTGGAAGACTCGGCCCCCAGTGGCAGCCCCCCCGTGGGCTGCAGTCAGCCGGAAACTACCATTTTTCAACCCTTGCCCAGAGGCTCTGATTTTGGCCCTTGCTGTTTCCTTCCCAGGGGCTCCCCCGTTCCATTTACCTGGCATCCAGTCCTTCTTCTTGTTAGGATATTGGTGAGCAGGATGTCTTGTCTGAAATCTCATTGCTTATTCACTATGACGTCCACCCTGCAGTGACACACGAAGAACTATGCAAACTACGCGCAACCCCCTTCCCTCTCTTTGGCCTCACCGTCCCCTGTCTCTCTGGCCTCCTCCTCATCCCTTACACTCTATGGTCACTGTCTTCTGTCTCTCTGGCCTCCTCCTCCTCCCCTTACACTCTATGGTCACCATTCCCTGTCTCTCTGGCCTCCTCTTCATCCCTTACACTCTATGGTCAATGTCTCCTGTCTCTCTGGCCTCCTCATCCCTTACACTCTATGATCACCATCCCCTGTCTCTCTGGCCTCCTCCTCATCCCTTACACTCTATGGTCACTGTCTTCTGTCTCTCTGGCCTCCTCATCCCTTACACTCTATGATCACCGTCCCCTGTCTCTCTGGCCTCTTCCTCATCCCTTACACTCTATGATCACCATTCCCTGTCTCTCTGGCCTCTCATCCCTTACACTCTATGATCACTGTTTTCTGTCTCTCTGGCCTCCTCGTCCCCTTTACCGCTCTTAGGATTTGATGCAATACTCACCTCAAGGGGTGGCATTGGACTGGTTTATGTAGGGTGTGATCTAGAACATCAGTGTTCTGACCCCTAAACGAGGGTTTGAACCACGTAGGACACAGGCTGACAGGATGCGCTCGCTCCTTTGTCCTGAGAAGCTAGGTCACTGCCTTAGCTGCCGATCCACGCATGTCGGGTTTATGCTGTGTGGTCTGCTTCTTTTTGTCCCTTGTTACCTTTAGTATGAGAAAAGTTATCATTTCTGCCTGACTGTCATGCCTATAGTCAGTTCTTGCTGTGTTAGGCAATGCACTCCCAGAGAAAACTGAAAGTTTACAAAACTGAATCCTTTTCAGATGTGCTTGCTGGGCCTGGGGTTTGGGCACCTGTGGTGAGATTGATTTGCTTGTGTCTTTAAAAGCATTTGCCCGAGTAGTATTAGTTATCATACAAAGTAGCTTGAATCCTAACTCACCTAATCCCTACCACTAAGGTGAGAACCAGCCCTGTCTGTTCCATTCCAGAACATTCCCCTTCAGCTTCTCTACCAACTTCCTGCTTGTGTCTCAGGATCTGTTGTCTACATACAGCCTAGAGTCTGGCTGGAGGCACAACAGGGCAGTCCACAGTCAGAGGGCATCAGGCAGCTGAAGGGCGATTCTCCCCATTTCCAGTCTGAAAAGGGGTGAGTCTGAGGTGTCCTGAAGCCGGTTAAGGTTCCAGGTGGCCACCAATGTGCTGACACTTCATGTCCACGGTGTATGGCCTTTGGCGTACCATCCCCTCTCCCTCAGGTAAACGTCTCATGGAAGCAGGTTCTGAGGTGGGGAATCTGGTGTTTCCTTGTTGTTAGTCTATTTGGGACACGGAAACACTACTGGGTTAAACGGGAGCCTGGGAGAGGGGAGTGGGAATCACCTTTCCGACAGAACAGGACTAGACTACGTTTTGTAGATTCACTGTTTTAAGGGAGCTGAGGTGGAGTGGAGGAGACGGAGGTGAGGCCAGGATGGTTGTCTCCATAGCAGAGACTCTGACCTGACCTCCACTGTGAGCAAAAGGGGACCGTGTGGCTCTGGCTCAGGGTGAATCTGCACATATTTAGAAAACAGGTTTGTCTGGATTTCATGGGCACATGAGAAAAAGAAAAGTCATAAATGACTCAGCCTTTTTTTGTGCCAGAAGTGTGTGTGTGTGTGTATGAGAGAGACAGAGACAGAGAACAGGAGTAGGAGGAATTGTTTGGTTTTGTCTATCCTTGGTTTGAGATGTGAATTAGACACCCTAGAGATGTAAGGTAAGGATTTGAATATGAGTCAGAAGTTGAGGTGAGAGGAAGCTGGGGTTGGAGAAACACCTTTGAGAATCACCAGTCGTCACCACGTGAAGGTTTCTTTCTGTTCAGTTAAGACTTCAGAAACATGCTGGGCTTTGTGGGGAACCCCTTGTTGTCCCATAACTTAAGGGGTAGATGTAGGAGGACCAGGAGCTGAGTGTCATCCTCAGCTCTAGAATGACTTCAAGGCTAGCTTGGGGCTACATGAAACCCTGTCGCAAAAAAAACCTTCATCCTAAAAAAGAGGTTTCGGACGTGATGCAACCAGAAAGTACTATAGAATATGTTGTGTTTTGTCCTTTGAACAGATATTTGGAACTATTTCTTTCCTCTGCTCATTAGTCATTTTATTCAAAAAAGTTGTAGTCTTCTGCAAAGTGTTATTTGACATTCTCCTGTTTAAAATGACATATTTTCCCATTGCAAAAGAAACAAACTGTAACGTATTTCAAGTAACAGATTCTCTGATCCACACTTCCCAGCAGCCTCTCTCCTCGGTCACAGTATCTCCCATAGGAGCGAGGTCCAGGCTGAACTCAACGTCTTCTCTTGTGGCTACATTTGCTACCAGATACAGTAGATCCTCCTTGGGCAGCAACGGGGGTGGCCGCTTGTATGGGGACCCCACTGTCACTGAGACTCTGCAGTCTCCGTACCATGGGGACGGATAAATAAGTATTCCATAGAGCTGTGGCTTGGCTCAAGATCTCCATGTGAAGTGCACGGCATGTTTCCAAGAGACATTCCTGTCAGTGGTGGCCGAATCCCACCATTATGGCAGTTGTCCGGGTAAATGCCTGGCCTGTGCTGAATTGGGGTGGGGGGAGATTAGTGGAGGAAAATAGAGAATTTAAATGATAGTTGGTTATTTTATTTGTAAATATATAAATCCATGCCATAAATGCCTTAGAGCATTTCCTCCAAACACTGAGTTTTTCAGGCAGTTAGAGTATAGGTGTTTTTATGAGGTAATTGGCTGTCCATTTGTATTATCTAATGTCGTAATTTAGTTGCACATGTTTAAAATAGATTTTAGTAGGGAAGTTTGCTTTCTCCTCTTGTTCTCACTTTTTGCAGAATATTTTCGTCCTGTTTTTCTTCTTGACTGTCTTCGATACCTGTGTCCCTCTTATTCCTCGAGTCATGATTTAGTGAGTTCCAGAGGACCTCACTATCAATGTGACATGGCTTGTAGCCAACTGAAGAGGCTCGGTTGAGGGACTGTCCACATCACATTGGCTTGTGCCTGTGCCTGTGGGGCATGCTTCTGAACGCCAATTGATGTAGCAAGGAGCTCCGCACTGTGGGCAGCACGTTCCCTGGGCAAATGGTCCTGGGCTGTGTTGACTTTAGCTAAGCATGAGCCTATGAGTAAGTCAGCAAGCAGCATTCTTCAGTGGCTTCTGTCTCACTTCCTGCTTCCTGTCCCAACTTCCCTCAGCGATGGACTGTGACCTAGGTGTGTAAACCAAAACAAACCAAAACCAAGAACCAACCAAACAAGAAACCAACCTCCAAACCCTCCCTTCCTTAAGTCACTTCTAGTCATGGCATTTGTCGCTAGAACACTCATCTTTGTTTGCATCCAGTCAACAGGAACACAACCTTTCAACATTGGTGTCCTGTCATTAGGCTGTTTTGTTTTGTCATAAACTATGAGCACTCACCAAACATTTGACTTTTCATTCTGTAGTTTTATACTTGTGATTCAATATAATAGCTTGCCTGCGGTCTTGCCTTTTCAAGTGATTTGTGTGTTCAGAAGGATAGATGCATGTGTGTGTGTGTGTGTGTGTGTGTGTGTGTGTGTGTGGAGTGACATGTGTGTGGAGGACAGGATTTAACATTAGGCGCCTTCTTCTCTTGCTCTCCGTCTTACTCTGTTTGAGGCAGGCTCTCACTGAACCCGGAGCTCACTGATTTGGCCAGGTTGGCTGACCAATGAGTAATGGATCTGCTTGTCTCCACTCTGGCGTTGTAGGTGGACACTGCCATGCCTGACTGTTTTCTGTGATGTTCCAAATCTGAACTCATGTTTGCCCAGCAAACACTTTCCCCACTGAGCATTCTCCTCCAATCCCTCAAGGCATTTTCTTAGTTTCTAATAATAATTTTTATCAGTCTGTCATTGACTGACAGAAATATAACAACAAACCTGGGCAAGGTGATGCATGAAACTGCCTCAAAGGAGGAAAAAAAATCCAAAACAAAAGGTTGTAGACACTAAATAAGATGATGTTAAAAGAAAGGAAATCTCACACAGACCCCCAAACAAACAGCAAACAAACCAATCTCACAACACTGGGTGGGTAGCCCAGCATCCTAGAGGCTGAGGCAGGAAACTCATCCCAAATTCCAGGACAGAATCAGAAGCACGCCCTCCCCAGTAAAGCGAAGTAAAAAGCCCTGTAACCCCAGCATTCCCGAGGTACAGGCAGCGGATTAAGCATGTGAGGCCGTCCTCAGTCACACTGATTTGAAGACCACAAACCGGGGCTGCCCGAGACCTCTCAGGAAGAGAGGTAACAGGAAGTGCAGCTATCTACCTTCAGATGAGGAAGTCAGTCGGAAGCGGCCCGCAGGGTCCACAGGATGCCCTCCCTGTGGCTTGTCTGCCTCGCCATCTGCCGTGTCTGTTTTATAACCAGAAGTCCAGGCAGACAGAGCTGTGGGGAGTCTGGTGGTGTAGGGAAGTCACAAGATTCTTACAGCCTTGCCTGGTCCTGCAGGTCTGCAGTAAAAGCAGCTGTGCTCTCTGACCTGCAAGGACCACATTGTTGGCTGGGTGACTGGTTCTCCAGCCTGGCCTCTGGCAGTGGGTGGAGGGTGAGGAGTTTGGGAGCAGGCCAGCTGAGCCCTTGAGCCCTGAGTGTCTGCCCTTGGTCACAGGTGTGAGTGAGCCGCTGAGCTCGCTCCTCCTTCAGGCTGAGCCTGTGGGCCAGGACCTTGCAAGCTTCCCTGATTTTTAGCTTCAGGACAGCAGCTGGACTTGTAGTCACCAGGGATCTCCCATCTTGACCGCCACCCAGTTCAGGAATTTCCCCTCTGGTGATCAGTGAAGACATTTTTATAGAAATGACCCAGGACTTGCAATTTGTTAGGTCGTATCCCGGAAACTGGCTCATGCACCAGGCTACTCTTAAGAACTGAAAACGGGTTGATTCCAGACTTCTGTGTGATCCCCAAATTGCTCATTAATATTCCCAATACAGTGATTGAAAGAGAACTTGACTATATTAGAGCCATAAGAACTTGACTATGGGGCCTTGGGTAGTATTTATACAAATAGACTTTGAGTGCTCATCCCACAATGAGGGATGCTCTCTCAGCCTGGACTCTTGACGGAGGGCCTAGACCCTACCCTGGATGATATGACAGACTCTGGAGATCCACCATGGAGGGCCTCACTCTAACTGGGGATCGGAGTGGAGATTGGGTGGGGGACTAGGGGGCCTGGTAGGGAGGGATGGGGAGGAGGGGAGGGAGAGGGACCTGGGATTGACATGTGAAACAAACTTGTTTCTAACTTAAATTTAAAAAAAAAAGAACTCAACTATGCTCCTGGGAGAGGGGACCTTTGACCTAAATTTGGATGTCTGTGGTAAACCCCATCCAGCCCCTGGTCAGGACTTACTCCTAATTGCTTCTATGACATTTGCTCAGATATGACACCAGGACCTAAGGCAGCTGTTGACTAATGCTGCTCACTCCTGGGGGAAACAGATTTTGTGCTGCTAATGTTAGGCACTGTCAGCCATGATACACATGAGTCAGAAGTCTGTGTTTCCACCACTGGTTGCCACTGAGCTGCAGAACTGGACAGATGATGAGTAGGGCTGTGCTAACTTAGACTTAGAAGGCAGAAGGTCTATGAAACTGTGCTCAAATGGTTCCACTATAGGCACAGTGACTTCAGCTTCCTTGTGGGTTCTTGATCTGGTTTGATTTTTTTTTCCTTTTTGGTAATGAGGCCTCCCATAACCTCCTCAGTTGCCCTACCGCCGAGTTGTGTACCCATGGCTCCAATTCTGAGTTTGAGAAATGTCAAAGTAAAACTTAGGCAAATTAAGAAATAGACGATATAAAAGGAAACACTTGCAAAACCCAGCTGCACCTATTTGCAAATGATGCTGTCTGGAGGGACGACACCGGTTGGAGGCCAGCCAAGTGCTCCTGGGTCACTGGGGCTGCACAGGGTTAGATGGCATCTGGCTCCAGAAACCATTTGTACTGTAAACGCGGTCCCCCAGTGCCTGCTGCTGTCCCTAGGGCACTCAAAGGCTGCCCTTTGAACATGGGCATTATGTGACTGCGTCAAAGGCAGGCGTGTAAGGATGTAATTGCAAGGCAGGCCAATTGCTCTCTTAGAGCCCCTGGGCTACCACAGAGCCCCAGAGGAAGAACCTGGGGAAGAGAGTTACAGTTTAATGCCACCTCAAGAGACATTATGATAATGGTAGAATTGTTCCGCTAACGCACATCTGGTGTAAGTTGAGACATCAGTCATTCTTTCTTAGGTTTGCTTGAGAGAAAAGAGAACGTGTGCTATCCCAGTCTTTATGCCTGAAATCCTCCCTTTCTCTGTAGGATCAAAGTGCTTAACGTTGCTGGTCGAAATCCATCCTGTGGACAGCGTGAAGGTTCTGAAAGCAGTGGATAGCTGTATTTGGGTCCAGGTAGGTAAGCCTGCTGCCTATCTGCTATCTTACTGATCAGAAGGTGTGCTCCTAGGGAGAAAGGTGTTTGTTTACAAAGTGCTTTCACACAGTTCCAGAATTATTCCTCTAAGCAGAGTCCCAGCCGTGAAGGCTTCTAGTGTCAGCATTTCCCTCGTAAGCATGGAGACAAGAACTCAGACCCGGCTGCTCGGCTCTGCTCTACCTGATAGTAAGGTGATGTTTTCACACGACAAGCATGAAATGTTAAAATAACTCTCTGGTAAGCTTTAGAATTGTTATGTCACCTATTCACCTTGCTGACAGACTAATTACCTGGTTAGCGACCCTGCGGACTGCTGCAGAAGCCCCTTGTGGGTAATGTGGGTGCACAGTCATTTTTTGATTTGAAGCTTCCACACTTGTATATTCTTGTGCGTATGAAGGTTTATTTGCAGTTCAAAATTAACACTTCACAGCACTTGGCCAGGTATTCACCGAGCAGGTGAGTCTCGGGCTTGCACACCCCAGCTGAGGCGATTCTCTGCTTGGTTTCCACACTTACGCTGCCCACAGGCGGTGCTCACCACCTAGTGCCGTGGGTGAACTTTTGTGCTTTTCATTGTGAGGTGACTGTTTGAAATGACTTCCTGCTTTTGTGCTGAAGTGCTATCTAGTGTTTCTAAGAGTACAAAGGCTGTGATGTGTCTTACGGAGGTAACATGTGTGTTATGTAGATAAGCTTTGTTCAGTCCTGAGTTATTATGCTGTGGGTCATAAGCTCAATGTTAATGAATCAGCGAGATGTGTGACACAAGGCGTATTTCAGCAGAAACACACAGACAAAATTCTATATTCATCCGTTGACAAGAGTGTGAACAGAGTTTTTGGAGGGACCTAACCTACTTGACCCGTGATCAAGTTTAGTATTCAGTATCTGGGTTCTTTGGTGGTTACCACAGTGAAGACTGATTGTACATAAACGTGCTAGACCATAATTTCCCGTGCTTAATTTCATGCTCTGCTACCTTTTTGGTTGGCCTGGAGTTAGCTAAGTCTCCCCTGTAGTATCTGCTTTAGCTCTAGCCTGCAGCCAATGGGCTGCCTCTCCCTGTGTTAGGGGAGGGCTTGACTCCCCCCATCCCCTCCCTCCCCTCCCTCCCCTCCCCTCCCTTCCCCCTCTCCCTACCTCTGTTACTATCCTCCAGCTCTTCTGACCCGTGTTTGCCCTCCACCTCTGCTATTGCAGATAGGCCCCAGCCTGGAGCTTGCAAACTGTTTCTCTCTCTTTGGGAGCCAACTCCCTGCACTGTATTGAGTGCGGGATGGCTACGAGGCAGAGCAAACTTCCCTTTTCTGATTTCATTCTGGATCCCCTCATCAGCAACCTCACCCAGGCAGGGTAAACGACAAAATTAAAGGGCTCGGACAAATAAAGTGAACAAGGAGTGCTTTGTTTGTCTTTTCCTAGAGACAACATTTCATTATGTTGCCCTGGCTGGCCTGCGACTTGCTGTGCAGAGCAAGCTGGCCTTTCATGCCTTAAAATGAACAGGCTGGCTTACTGCCTGGCACTTTTTTTTTATGATGAAGGGATTGAGCACCCATCTCCTGCCAGTTTTCCCTTTGTTGTCTCAGCGGATGGGATCAACCTTGTGCCGTGGGCAGACACAGTGGAGAGCACGCTGTCAGGCGCTGCATCGAGCCTTTCTCCCCGGGACAGCTAGCATGCTGTCAGGTGCTGCATCGAGCCTTTCTCCCCGGGACAGCTAGCATGCTGTCAGGCGCTGCATCGAGCTTTCCCTCCCCGGGACAGCTAGCATGCTGTCAGGCGCTGCATTGAGCCTTCCCTCCCTCTGACAGCTAGCACGCTGTCAGGCGCTGCATTGAGCCTTTCTCTCCGGGACAGCTAGCCTCACTTGCCACATCATGACTCCCTGTTCTTTCTTGGAAAGCCCCTGGTCACTTTGTTCTTTGTCTCTCAGCTGTGGGAGTCTGAACATTGCAGCAGGGACTGTGTTCTCAGTTATATACTAGGCTTAGTTTCGCAATAAATTTACTGGCCGCACTTTGTCTCTGGGAACTGAAACACAGTGTATACATGTTGGTCCCATTGTTTCCGATGGCTTCAGAATCAAATATTGCAAACAGGAAGTGTCACCCTGGAGGCCGCTTCTCTCTCTGCCTTGTGCTTAGAAGTCTGGTGATGATGTCGTACCTGGTGCCAACCTCCCCGAGAAAACTGAGGTCCTCAGGGGTTCCTTCCTCTACCTGCTCGACCTTTGTCATGTGTACATGTGATTCCCCTAACGCATCCGTGGTTCTCAGTTTCTTTTATAGCGTGTACCAGTAGCCATGATCAAATGGCGACTGAAGTATCAGAACACGCAAATAGTCGCTTATGATCTCTTATATTCACTCTCTGCAGTTCCTCTACCCGCATGCTGAAAGTCACCGCCTACAGAGCCACCTGTTACTGATTTCAGAAGAGAAATGTAAGTAATGATGTGCGGGGCGCATGCCCACAGTCGCCTAGTGAAGTGTGAACCCGGATCGAACCGGCTGGTGGTCTCTACCATTGCCCAGGGGCTGCTCACCTCCAGCGTCCATTCGAGACCTAGAACTCCTGTGAGATCAGAGCTTCCCCTTCTGCAGCTCCTTCCTCAGTCAGCGTCCTTGGCTTGGGAAAGGAATGGCTCATGTGCGCATGCGTGTCCGGTGGTTGACTTGTAGAACAGCTACACTGTTTCCTTGAAGATGTGTGTCTGTCAGATGGATGACTGTGATCTGGGGTAAGGGACTTGGGCGGAGAGAGGGAAGGGAAGGCTTGGTCCCTGGAGGATTCCAGGGCAGATGTAAAGCACAGAGCAGCATGTATGTATAAGTGTGGGTCTGGAAACCCTGTTAGCCGGGGGAGAAGGGTGGGTTTGGAGGGTCGTGGGATCCCTGTGTATGATGGGGTACTTTCTACCAAGGCTGCAGATGTCTTTCCTGAATGACAAAATATCTTTTTTTGTTGGTTTATTTTTAAAGATATCGAGCGGTTTCATATCCAGATCACCAGAGAAGATGGAAACAGAGTGGTAAAGATTGAAATCTCTTCTAGAAGGGTTATGTCTCTGGCTTCTAAAGACAGATGAGCTCTATGACACAAAGCATTTGCTTTGACATCTTACTCTTAGGATGTGTGAAACAAGGATGTGTGGGGGAGTTAGTGACCCCTCCTCTCCCCCTCACACCCAGTGGGCCCCGACTCCATCCAGTCTTCTTGCTTGTGCAAACCTGCCCAAGGTTAGACACACACATAGGGGAAATCAATTGTTTTTATCAAATAGAATCATAATATGTACATTTAGTATCTTCCTTTGTGTTTGCTGTTTTACTTCCTGTAACAATAGCATTAGACTAGTAAGCGGGAAGTAACTAATCGCATTCCTCTAATTTTAATGTATATATACATGTAGCAAATAATCCCACCGTTCTCCTTGTCTGGAATATGTCCTTTCACATTTTCCCACATGTTTATTAGTTTATGTTTACTCCACATTTATCTCTACTTCTGACAAACCCTGGTTTGGTTTATTATTAACTCATGTGCGTTATCTAAAAGCCAGCTGGGGTAGCTTGGATTTATTTTCTGAGGAAGTGCATGGTAGCTTCAGGCATGGTGTCTCTGATGCTTTCCTTATTCTACTGTGTTGTGACCTTTAAATGTTTACCTTTGTTTGCACCTTTACATATTGGTACCTTTATGCCTTTGACCTAAATCCTTAGATTTGGATGACAAGGTTGGAGGGATATGCATTTAATAAGTTTCAGGAGGGTCTGCTAATTGCTATCCCCAACAAAACAAAACAAAACAAAAGGCCAAACTAGTTTTACAAGCGAAGTATGAGAGTATCAGGTAAGTTTACCTTTAACATTTCCCAATTTCATGGGTATGAACTAACATCTTACTGCCAACTTAGTCTGTATTTATTTACTGTTTATTGACTTTGGGCACCTTCTCTGTTTACTGGCTACTTAAATTTGCGTTAGGAGAATTTATTGATTATATCCTTTTCTGTTTTTTTAATTGGTTACCCTTTCCTTGACAATTCTTATGAGGTCTGAATATAGTATAGACATTAAAATGGCTTTATCCAATGTTTAGTCTATATAAGATAACCTTTAATTTTTACGTTTATTTGTTGTGATTTGTAGTGTGTGTGCATGTGTGTATATGTGTGCATGCCTGTGCTAGCATGGGCGTATATGGGTGTGTACACCTCTATGTGTGCATATGCATGTATATGCTTGCTCATGAGACTGTATGCATGTGTTTGTGCATGGTGTGCATGTATGTGCTTGCAAATGAGAGAGTATGCGTGTATATGTATGCGTGTATGCATATGCATGTGGTGTGTGTGTGTGTGTGTGTGTGTGCATGCCATGGGGGTGAGTATGGAGGTCAGAGATCTTTTACCCTGTGGATTCCAGGCATCAGACTGAAGTTGTAAAGGTTGGTGGCAGGTACCTTCACCCGACAGCTCTCAGAATAATCTTCCTCTGAGAATGTTTCTTTGAAGACTTTAAGATTATATGAACAATACTGAAATGGGAGGCAGTGTTTACTAACCAGGTAGCTACTATGAAAACCTCGAACCAGAAGATCTGCTGGAGACCGAGCAGGGCTCTGGCAGCTGGTGACCCGCAGAGCAGGGCCAGCGTTTTAGATCCCAACCGCAGCTATGAGCGCCTGGAGGAGGCTGTTCTGCACACATGTTAGATGGGACCCAGCAGGGACTAGAGAGTGGGTTGAAAGATTGGGATCCCAGTGCTGCTGCAGGGACAGTGAGAGGCGGGGCTCTGTTCAGCTGCCCAGACAGCGTGCGGCTGGCCAAGATGGCCCAGCTTCCCTGTTTCTCCATATGCGGGGGAGGGACCCTCTTCTGCCTACCTTCGGAAGGCTTTGGTAACAGTTTCCTAGAAGGGTGTGTAATCCCGCCTGTTCACCACAACACCCTTAAGTGACAGAGGAGGCATTGTAGCTCCATCTCGTAGCAGAGAGAGGAACGTAAGTGAGGTCGCCCCAAAGGGACACAGGGGCATTTTAACATGGTCATGGCAGAATCTGATGCTCATCTTGTCATATGGCTTTGGCTGAAAGGATTCACAAGCTTGTTCCCTGAACCAGAATTCATGCACATAGAAACGGGATTTAGAGGATACAGAGGTGCTCTGGGACCATTGGCATCACTGCCCATGCCCAATGGTGATGGACCGAGGTGAACAAGATAGAGCCTGTGCTTTGTACCGACCTCAAATTCCCACCAGCACTGGACAGGTCCCTCAGGGTTGAGCTTTTGTTTTATGGTTTGCTGATTGCTCGGTAGGCATTTTGAGGAGAATGACTTGGGCTTGGAATTTCACATGCTAAACACCTGCTCTGCCACATGCTAACCCACGGAGTCATAGCCCTTGCCCTTAGAAAGTAAACCCTGTTTTTGTTTTCTTTTGTTTTGTTTTCCCTTTTTAGTCAGGGTCTTGTTATGTCTTTCAGTCTGGCCTGGAATTTGTGATCCTCCTGCTTCAGTGTCCGAGAGCTGGTATTGCAGATGTGAACCACCATGCCAGGTGCTGGTATTATAGGTGTGAATTACTATTCCCAGTTTGGAAAAGTAAATTCCTTGTAAGGGCATTTTGTGTATGTGTGTGTATATGCTAGTGTGTGTGTATATGTTAGTGTGTGTGTATATATGCTAGTGTGTGTGTGTGTGTTTGTGTGTGTGTGTAGGTCAGAGGTCAAACATATGTGTGATCCTTCAGATACCGTCTACTTTATATTTTGAGACAGGGTCTCTCATTGGCCTGCTAACTAGGCTACACTGGGTAGCCAGCTAGTCTCAGGGAACATTCTGCTCTGTCTCCCCAGTCATGGAATTACAAGTACAAGCACTGTGGCTGTTTTTTTTTCACGTGGGTCCTCAGGATCAACCTGAGGTCCTCATACTTACAACACAGTACTTTACCAGCTGAGCCTTCACCCATCGCCTGGAGAGGGAATTCTTAGCTCCTTCTGTAAAGTCACTGTAAGATCTGCTGATACCTTTAAAAAAGTATTAGCAAAGGCCAGATGTTAGGATGCTAAGTTTTGCTAAACTAACTACTCAGCCTAATCTAACCTCTCTGGGCCTCAGTTTCCCCCTGAGTTCACTATGTAGCCAAAATGACCTTAAACTCCTGGTCCTCCCAAGTGCCGGGAACATAGTCCTGTGCCACAGTGCCCGGCTTATGGGGACCTGGGGATTAGTGCTTCCTGCTCATAGGCAGGACTCGAGCTGAGCTACAGCTCTGCCTCACCCTTTGATTTTAAACCTCTATGGTTCTTTGGGTTTAAACAGACACTTTACACTTTACGTACCCTTGTTTCGTCTTCCTTCACGTCTAGAAGCAGTCCTTGGGTAACATTAGATTCTAGAAGCACTCAGACACGAGTCAGCAGGTGTCCTCAGAGGAGTACATGCTCACTGGGGCGTTAGAGTACTACGGTGTAACTATGGAAGCACGCATAAGCCCACTAGGAACACAGAGTCAGGAAACTTTGCTTTGTATTAGGGATTCTGAGGTGAGACTGTTCAGAAGGCAGAATCCGAGGCAGATGTGTGGGAGTCAAGCACTGCTGGTGGCTGGGCAATGCCATCCCCCTTGTGGAACACATGAAGGAAAGATTATGACCAAAAGCACTGGTTGGTGAATGGCCCCCCTGGGCCGTTACAGTGCTCCCCATGTTCGGCCCGAGTGTGAGCCGTTACAGTGCCCCCCATGTTAGGCCCGAGTGTGAGCAGTTACAGTGCTCCCCATGTTAGGCCCGAGTGTGAGCAGTTACAGTGCTCCCCATGTTGGGCCCGAGTGTGAGCAGTTACAGTGCTCCCCATGTTAGGCCCGAGTGTGAGCAGTTACAGTGCTCCCCATGTTAGGCCCGAGTGTGAGCAGTTACAGTGCTCCCCATGTTGGGCCCGAGTATGTCCTTGGCATCATGAACCTTGGTCTTTGGAGATGAAGGCTTTTGTGTCTAGACCCGACCAAAGGGGTGCGATTACGACAGGAAGCTATTCATGTTCTGTCAGTACGGGTGTTTGTACTGCCAACCTGCCTGTTAAGCTAAGAAGAACAGAGCACAGAGCATTGCGAAAGAGGCGATGATGCCTTAAACATTTTACAGAAAAAGCATTTATGTTGTGGGTGTGGGGAGGTGCTGGTAATAAAGTAGGGGTGTTTACCTGTATCATAGGCTTAGGCTATGCATAAATGATGACTTAGGCTGTCATTTTGAAAGTACTTATAAAATCATTTTCCCCCTAGGTAATTAGAAATTCCAGCCATCTCCCAAGAGACAGAATAGCTGAAGATTTTGTTTGGGCTCAATGGGATATGTCAGAGCAGAGATTATACTACGTTGAACTGGAGGTAAGAACTAGCCCATGGGTACCTGTTTCTACAGAAACAATATAATTTTGACATCATTATCATGTCTTGAAAAATGTTAGTTATCTATTTTATTTTATGCATGTGGATGTTTCGCTTGCATGCATGTCTGTGCACCATGTAGGTACAGTGCTTGCAGAGGCTAGAAGAGGGGGTTGGGTCCTCTGGGACTGAGCTACGGGTGGTTGTGGGTCACCAGGTGTGTGCCAGGGATCTAACTCAGGTCCTGGAAGAGCAGCCAGTGCTCTCACCAACCGAGGCATCTCTCCAGCCCCTGCTTTAGACTTTCTAACGACCATGTTATCACTAACGGGAGCAACCAGTGAAGGTTTATTACAGACAATGAACAGGGTTTGTTTTTACTGCTTCTTGACGACTTTTTCTCTTCGGCTTTTTTATTTTTGGAGATGAGATGTCAAACGTTTTCTTTTCTAGCAATCAAAGAGTGTCTTGAAATGCATCCAGTTTTGGGCAGATGAGAGCTTTACTTTAATGGTGAGTACATAGACTGCTCTGTCCCAGGACATTTTTCTGGAGTTGAAATCACATGTAAAATTTCTGGCGTTTTGACACTGTGCCAGTCACTTGTGTGATCAAATAACTTGGTTTCTGCTGCCTTGAACCACGGCTCTCTCAGATGCAGAGTTGGTACAGGTAAAGAGGATAGTGTGTTTTTAAAGTAGCTGCCCTAAGAGGGCCTCAGAGGAAGTTTTGTGACCAGAGTAGATTGCTCTAAGAGGCTGAGAGTCATTTGACTCAAAAGGAATCATGAACAGAACGGGTTTGAGGATGAGGAAGGGAGTCAGTTAGAGTGTACCGTTTAGTGAGTGTCTAGCACTGTCATTGTCTGCCTATGGGAAGGCACTGTGTATGTCTTTATCTGGGATGGACAGTCTTTCCTCCCTTTCTCAGGACCAATATTGGCATCAAGTACACACTGGTTTCACACTGTTACAAGACTTTCCCTTCATTTCCTGCCCCATTTTTAACTCACCCACTCCACAAGACACCCTAGGCTTCCTTCCTTTCATGACTGTCTGTCTTGTGGAAGGTTGTGGCTGTCAACCATCCTACTATACAATCTGTTTATGATATTCACTGAAGGCAGAGTTAGTCTTGTAGGAAAGAAGAAGTACTGAACGTGTCTGTAAACTCCAGGATATTCCAGTAGACTCCTGCCCTGTGGGTTTGGGTCTTGCCTTTGGAGATGATGGTTAAATGGTCTCTTTAACACCAGGCCAGCTGAGCACTGGCAGCTTGCTTTGCATTTCACAGCTGTTATCATGTAATGCCATTTTTTTACTGAAATATTTTTGAGATTATAATATAGTTACAAAATTTCTCCCTTTCCTCCCTCCAAATCCTACCCATACCCCTCCCCATTCTGCTCACAATTCACGGTCTCTGCTTTCATTAATTATCATTATATGCATATATGAATAGCAATATACATATCTTTAATGTTACTTATTGTATGACTATATGTATATGTATATGCATGTCTGTGTAATATTACTTATTGTATAATATATGAATATGTATTTACATGTCTATGTAATGTTACTCATTGTATGCATATGTGAATATATATAAATATGCTTGGGTGATGTTACTTATTTTATGAATATGTGGATATGTATATATATATATGCTTGGGTGATGTTACTTTTTGTATGCATATATAGATATGTACATACATGTTTATATAATGTTATTTATATAATTTCAGGGCTGACTATTTGTCACTCGACAATCAATCGATGAGCTCTTCTCTAGGGAAGACCTGTAATGTCATTTTTAATGCTGATCTCCTCCTCATTTTTTGACAGTTTGAAATGCCCTTGGACATATCATTGAGTGGCTTAAGATTTAAGTAAGTTATCCATAGAGTGTTAAATTTCATAGACATTTATAGGTAGCAAAATGATGACATCTATTCCTAATTGTGATAGGTAGATACTGGGATGGTCTGATATTTTATGCATCTATTTTAAGATTTATTTGTCTTTGCTTTATGTGTGTGGATGTTTAGCCTGCATATGTGCCTATGTATCTCACATGCACAGTGTTTGCAGAGGCCAAAAGAGGGTGTTGGATCCGCTGGGCCTGGAGTCACAGAAGGTTGTGAGCTGCCCTGTGGTGCTGGGCATCAAACTCGGGTCCGCTGGAAGAGTAGCCAGTGCTCTTAGTTACTGAGACATCTGCCTAGCCCCTTGTGGATCTGTTATTAATATCTCCATTCTTTACAGAATATAAGCTGGCTTGTCAGTGGATAGGGGATTGCATGTATAGAGTCAACTGTGTTGATTTCTGTAGGGCACCTGCATTTACTTTGATGTGTGGAAGTTCTTGCCTTCCTGTGACTAAACAGAAGGTTCTATGAGCCAGCGTGAATGCATTTAGATCAACTATCGAAAGGCTTTCTTGCTGCCAACAGGAGGTCACAGGTCAACCCACTTGCAACTCAGGAGTTTCTTGCTTTATTTTTTCTATTTTTGTTTTTACATGAAAGGCAAGAATTTTTCTTTTACAGAGAGTTTTTTGTGTGTGGTTAAAAAGCTACAGATTTTTTTAAATAAAACAAAACAGAGCATGTCAAAGGTCAGAAGAGAAGAAAGTCTTCCAAATTGGAGTAATGGTAGTCCAAAGCTGTTCAATATTTCATCATCTTTAATTAAACATATATGGATATTTAATTGTGCCTACTTTGAACTTATATATGTATATTTTAGATAACATTTACTATAAATCACAAATATTATAGAAACATATGTTGTAAGTAATACAATTTTCTGTCTATTGGCAGGCCCATATCTTTTATGTATTATGTATATTTTTAATCACTGTTTTGTATTTTTAAACAAAAATTGCCTGCTGAAACGTATCAGAAACATATTTTTGCCTCTGTGAGTGTGTTGTGGTGGTTATAGCATGTATGAGGAGAGTACCTCTTTAAATGCATTCAATAATGTCTTTTCCTTTACCATCTTAGATTTGTCAACTTTGGATATGATTATCGTCAAGACCAAGAAAAGTTATGCAACCAGCCTTCTCTCTGTGTTTTTACCAATCACACAGGTAGAATCAAGGTCATCCTTGTCAATTTTTATTCACTTGAGTTCTATACAAGTTCCACTATGTGAAGCCTGAAAATGAAATATAGCAGTCACATTATTTAAAATATCAATCAAATGGATATTATATGTACATTTATATGTCAAATCACCTTCTCCACTGTAATTTTACACCTTTGTCACTAAGCAGGGAACTTAGGGTTAACACCTAGTGGCATACAGTGAGTGACACCTCTGCCCTTCCACTATGATTTAATACATACTTGTATTAATGAGCAAAGCCACCACCAACAGGGTTATTGTTCCAATAGTTTTTACCGATGCTGTTCTAATAGAGCGGGTGGATTCATATTTATTCAATGCACATTTTCCCACAGGAAATGCTTTCTATGTTCACCTTACTGAAGTGTTGGGTTCTAATTACTTATTTTTACATTATTTTGCATGTGTTGTATGTCTGTGGGCACATGTATGCCATTGCATGCATGTATGTGGAAGCCAGAGGACAAATTGTGGGAGGGAATTATTTCACCATGTGGGCTCCAAGATTGAGTTCATGTCATCAGGTTTGGTGGCAAGCGCTTTTACCCATGGAGTCATCTCACTAACCCATGTTTGGGATCTAAGCCCATGTACCTGGACACGGATGCTAAGTGACGGCTGCCATTCTAGAATTCAGAGCTTGACATATACCTGTTTATATAGAGAACATGGAGCGGGGGAGGGGGACCTAACAATGAAAGAAGAAAGATGCGATTATATGTAATCAATCTTTTGAGAAATCATATCAAGTTCAATGAACATATAAATCAACACTGAAAAACAAAGCATAATAACCATTTTTAATATACCATTCTGAGCAGATATTTACTTCTTGGGTAACATTTGAATTGAAATCATATTCTCCTTGTAAATATATAAAATTATTTAAAGCAAAAATATGTGCTAGTCATGCATGAATCTAACATTTATTGAGGATTACTATGTGCTAAGGTTTTCAAAACATTTTATTTGAAATTGAGTGTGTGGGTGTGTGTGCATATGGGTGTGGGTGTTTGCGGAGGTCAGAAGAGGGTGTTGAATCTCTGGAATGAGAGTTACAGGGGATTGTGAAGCATCAGTGAGGAGCTGGGAACCACACTTTGATTAGCTGCTGCGTGGTCTCTCCAGCCTCCTATGCTAAGTTTTGGCAGCACAGTGATGAGCAGGCATGGCCTGACCTTTAGTAGAGGTTACTGTTGGTGACACTTCATAGGTGTATACATAACATTCAAATAGAATCATGGTAAGCATCATGAGTGAGAATTACAGGAAGACAGGAGAGCATCTGCTGAGCATTCAATGGAGGAAGGCAGAGTTCCCGAATATGGTCTAGCGTACTAGGTCCATGTGTGTTTCTCCTTCTTTGTTCCTCCATCTGCTGAGCATTCAATGGAGGAAGGCAGAGTTCTCGAATATGGTCTAGCGTACTAGGTCCATGTGTGTTTCTCCTTCTGCGCCAGCCATTCCATCCTGTCTCCTTTAGTCCTGAAAAGTACCTTTTCCCTGCCACATTGCTTCTCATCTGTCCCATTGTCTGTCCTGTCAGTCCTGGCCTTCCTTAGCCACAGGCACCCCTCCATCAACCAGTCCTCGTGAGTGCAGAGAATGGGGTGGATCAGCTGGGAGCCATTTGTGAGTGCCCATTTCCTACTGTGAGTGATGGACGGCCAGCAGGGGTGGGGATGAGAGGGACTGAGGGAGGAAAGAGACAATGTAGGCAGGGCCACAGGAGGTAGGGCCTTGCGGGACATAAAAGCTTTTAGATTTTATTCTAAGATTTATGAAAAGTCATAGAAGATTTTTTTCTTATCACAGTTATTTTTATAACACTCAAGCATATAATATAATAATGAATGGCTGGGCATTGGTGGCACATGCCTTTAATCCCAGCACTTGGGAGGCAGAGGCAGGTGGATCTCTGTGAGTTTGAGACCAGCCTGGTCTACAGAGAGAGTTCCAGGACAGCCTCCAAAACAATACAGAGAAACCCTGTCTCGAAAAACCAAACCAAACCAAAAACAAAAATTATAAAAACAAAAATAATAACGAATACCTACATGTCTTATTTAATCATATAATTTTCAATATTTCCTTTGTCATTCTTTTCATATATGAGTAAACCATTTAAGAGCAAATTGTAGATGGACTGGGGGCACACGCCTGTTTTCTCAGCACTCAAGCAGCAGAGGGACATGGGCTGTGTGCTTAAAGTTATCTTGGCCTCAGTAGTGAGGCCCTGTGTCAAACACAAAAGGTAATGTTCAGACACTACACACTTGACTGCCAAGGAAGTTAGTGTGTATTTCTGTAGATGCTCTTTCAAATAACCCCTGCTTCATTATCCTTAAAAGAAATTAATTGCATTCATCAATACACTTCATCTGTGGTGTCTTTTAATGTACAATTTCCTTTATACCTCTGTCCCGACTCCTTTTTCACAAATTGAATATATTGAGGAACTCTTTGTCTTAAAAAGTGGCCCACATTCTGAATTTAATTCTTTGTTTCCAGATGGGAGTCTTAGAATTTTCCCACTATTCTCTATGTCTCCTATAAAACAGAAGTTACACCCGGTAGCATAGGTAGACATAGGTTAAGTTTTTGTGAGACTACGTCACAGTGGTGTTATGAAGTTCATTCACACGAGCGCAGGAGGCATATAATGTCAGTACGTCTTGCAACTGTTTATACAGACACTGCATTTCATCATTTGGTTAAGTAGTAACCTCTGTGTATGTGTCCTCCAAAGGTATATTTTAACCTTGGAATGAGTTAGTTTTGAATAATAATCTGTAAACACATGACTATTTCCTGACTATCGTCCCCTAGCAGTCTTAGGACCCTCCATGGACACCCAGTCACTGAAGTGTTTTGAGCAGGCAGTGGTATGTATTGGTATGTGTTGACTGCATACATATCCTTAAGGAGTATTCACACAGGCAAAGCTAGGAATCAGCCTCCATGCTTGTCAACAGGCTATGCCTGGTTAAATGTGGTAGCTATGTACAATGGATTATTGTTCAGTCAAAGAAGAACAAAACCATGGTACTTGCAGGGAAATTGCTGGCACTGAGGCCATCGTGTTAAGTGAAATAAACTAGATATAAAAATACAGTGTTTTCTCCTGTGTGTGGATGGTCTGGAGAGAGGCAAAGGGACAAGGGGAGTGTGGGAGAGGGTGGTGGGCAAGGTGGGCGTGAGTGAAATGTGCCATGTGCCCGTATGAAAAAGTGTCACCGTGTAGCCTGCTACTGTGTGCCACTCACGTGCAGTGGTAATTGTGATAAAAGCCATCACTGTAGCTGCTGGGTGGGGAGAGGTTTGTGTCACTCATGTACAGTGGTAATTAATTGTGATAAAAGTCATCACTGTAGCTGCTGGGTGGGGAAAGTCTTGGGGAAGGGGAGACCTGGAAGGTCAAATTCAGATGAGATCTGAGTCACATTTGAGACAGCGGGGACTTGAACTACAATGGGCAGAAGGACGTAGAGAAATAGACGGAGCAAGATGCGTGTTGGAGATGAAAGCAGAGATGTCTTCCTCTGCGGAGAGAAGAGCCTCAGGTTCCTGACACCAGCAGTGACGGCAGTTACCGAGGTGCAGGCGCGTGGTGGACTGCTAAAGGGAGGTCATGAGCTGTCATTTGAGCATGTTAACTAAGAGATGGAAGAGGAGTCAGGAGTGACGGTGTATGTAGGAGAGTGGTGGGGATGTGGCCGGCATGGAAGCCACCGGAGGACGTGAGAGGGGGGAGGGGCTTGGGAACGATACCTGGGAGCCTGAGTGCTGGGGGTGGGGGGATGGGGGGTGGGGGGTAGGGGGGTGTTGTGAGAACTCATTACACCTACAGCTGTGAGGTACCAGCCCTAGGCTGTGGTCTTGTCTGCTGTATGACAACTGATAAGTGGAGGGGAAGGCTTTCTAGCTCCCTTGCTCTCCCTGGCACTTGGTGTTAGGAGAGCAAGCTGCAGAGAGGCAGGGCAGTTGGTGCTCCCGACCCCGGGCAGGATGGCTGGGCAAGGACCGCAGGATCAGTGGCGCGGCTGCTTTGCTCAGTGTCTGTGAGTTTGTCTTTTCATTGCACCCCTTAATAAACTGGTTATTATGCGTCTGTGGGTTCTCACATCCAGAAGGAGGACAAAAGGGCATCTCATGAGAGAGGATAGCGGAACATGTACAGGATCCAGAGGCACAGTGGGGTCTCACTAAGGAGAGGGGCCAGCAGCACAGAGAGGTGGCGGTCACAGCATTGACACCGGGAGAGCTTGATTCTGCTTAGGCTGAGCAGCTCAGTTTTAGAAGCTGTGGGAGAGGCGGCAGCACAACATGGACGTGGGGTTTAGGTATTTTTTTTTAAACGTGCGCGTTGGTATTTTGCCTTGGGTGTATGGTTCTCTGGAACTGGAGTTACCGACAGTTGTGAGCTGCCACGTAGGTGCTGGGAATTGAGCCTGGGTCCTCTGGAGATTGCTGAGGGATCTCTTCAGCCCTGGAATTTTTTTAAAACTCCAGTTGTTTAAATGCTTACAGGATATATTTAGTGGGAAAGGAAAAAGGGACAAGGCCAAGCAGAAAGAGCTTTGCTTTTGAAGATGGGGAGAGGTGAGATCAGAGCCCCCAGGGATGAACAGGGAAGGCTCTTCCCCGCCTTTTACCACGGCACGCTACAGTTTCTAGGAGCTTCCCTTTTTATCCAGAGGAACGCGTTACGAACAGTAGCAACCATAACGTATAGAAGGACTGCTACAAGCTAGTTAAAAACATACTGGGGTCTTCTGGTACGAGATTCGGAAGTGTCTCTCCCTTTCTTGGCAATGTCTAAGAGAGTGAAAATGGGCCTTGTTCTTCGTCGTCAGCCTTGCAGTAGAGAAACTAAGTCTGTTTCTTGTGAGAAAAAACAAGCTGCAGAAGTCTTCGTTGTTTTTGGGTAGTAAGGCGCCAGTTCCGGTATTTTTCCAGTTGGGTTTAAAAAAAGATCTCTTACCTCTGCGGTTAAAATAAACAAGATTGTGAAGTCCCTAGGCAAGTTGGTGAAAGACTCAGCCTATGGCCGGGCAAATAGAAATGGTTTTTCAGTAGTCTGCAGGAAGAGCCGTGGGCATGGCCGTAGTAGAGGTATATGTGGATGGCGGTGGGCTCTAGGGTCTCCATTTTGAGTTCACAAGCAATTTCTTGTCTTGCAAATGGGATAAGTCCTGTGACCTGGGATTGCAGATAACTTTGTTTGAGTGGGCCATTCTGCTGTTCCCTGTTTGGGCAGACTGGAGCCACGGTTTTTCTGTTTGGGGGAACTTTCTGGACCAAGCTTCCCTTTCTGGTTTCCCCATCATGGCCTTTTCTCCACTGAGATCTACTCCAGGAAAGTAAGATTAGAGAAAGGCCCCAAATTGCCTAAGCCAAATGTCGCTCCTCTGGGATAGTGTAGGTCTGGGCCTTGACGTCTGGAAATGTGGCTTGAGAAGGGAGAACGGAGAGATTCAGGGCCCTGCGCATGCCCTGTTGGCTGTAATGATGGTGGCTTGGAGCTTGGCAGCCATCCGCCATACCTGGGGCCTTCGAGCCGCTGTGCCATGACGGCACTGGCTTCGCCGTCTCCACAGCTGCTTTGTCCTGCATTTCCCGGCTCTAAGAAGTGAAATCGGGCACCTTCCAGGGGGCGAGAGGCTAAAATCTGAAGCGTGGGTGTGCTCCCCAGAGTTGATGGAGGGCTAGGGGCTGTTGCTGTCTGGCCACTCGTGGATCACTTAAGATTACGAGCGCATGCAAGCATTGCTAGCAACTCTATTACACTGGGAAGGCAAAGAGATCACGGAGAAGAAAATACCGCCTCCATATCTGATGGGCAGCCCCGACTGTGCACTGTGGTTACACTGTCATGCTGCCGGCCTTCCTGCGTGCCGCCAGCTGCGAGACAGTGAGTCGGGGGCTGAACCTCCTCCTGCCTGCTCTCACGATGGCTGAGTTCTCAGAAGCAGGCCGGTGTTGGAGCATTTTATAGAGCCCTTTGATAATTGTTCCAGTGAGATGTTTTCCTTGGAAAACTTGTCTGTAATAGTTTTCATCGTCTAAATGGTTCCCAACGGTGAGCCCATGTGGAGATGTTATCTTTATCATTGATGAGTATTTTCTAAAAGTCTCTGGATATTACATTAACTTATAAATAGAAGCCAAATTGTTCTGGAATAATAATAATAGCAACTAACATTTAGAGTCAGATATAAGGATTTTTGCCAGAGATTTATATATATTATTTGATTCTCATATAAGAACCTTGTGAAGTAGTTTCTATATTTTTAAATGTACAGATGAGAATACTGAAGCTTAGAGAACTAACTTGCTAAAGGCAGTGTGCTCTATGAACCAAGAGCTTGGGAGACAGAGGGCCAAGGACCAAGGCAAAGCCAGTTTGTTGTAGAGTGAATTCTGGGCCAGCCAGGGGCTGCACTGTAAAACTCTGTTAACAAGACAGAGCAAAACAGGATTAGGCATGCCCAGCCTGGAAAGTTTATTACAGAATCTGAAAGACCCTAAAATGTGAAAAGCGTGTGGTTCAGGCATTTTTGACGAGGGGTTCTCAAACAGGATCGATTTAATCACAAGGTCTTCCCCTGCAGGCAACCGACATTAGTAGCTGCTAAGAGAGGTTATCCAGAGATTCGCATACTGAGAAGGATGGAGAGGCAGGGAGGTGAGGCAGGCCCTGCTAGGTGCTGACCTTCCACGTGGGCCAAAGCTGTCAGGGACCCGGTATTGATGAGCATGGTCTCACACATTGTGTTTGCTCCCATTGCTCATAGGAAAGGACCATAGTTTGCATTTCAATCTTGCTTTAAAAATACTGGATGTCTTGTTTGGATAGCTGGGGTGCAGAGCTACAATGGCTGGGAGGGGACAGCCGGGGAAGAGGACAGAGTATGCACACTCATCAGAGCTTCATGAAGGCGGGACCTTTTCTAGGTACAGAGGACGTTCCCCACCCTTCACAGCCTGCCCATAGCTGTGGATGAGAAATGCTGATTTGAAATTTCATAGCAACTTATTAATACCACTTTGTGAGTTTAGAAATAATCTGTGAACTAAGGTGGGGAAGGTGAATGATGGTCTATGAAATTTATTATGCAGATTATTCAAATGTTATTAAGTACTTTCTTTTCTTTTTTTTTCCAGGGAGTTTGTGTGTGTGTTACAGCCCAAAGTTTGACTCTTGGGAAGAAGTCACATATTCAGTGTTTTACCTTCATAAAGGTACTTTTTAGTTTATTCTCCTTTACTTTTACATTTTGCTTTTTCCAAATGGTGGGAAATTAGATAAATTGCAGACATCTTAACACCGAGTAAACAGTTTTATCAGTATATTTTATGATTAACTGTATAGTTATGTTTTATGAAGAGATTCATTAGTGGCATGTAGTCAGATAGTTAACTGATGTACTACATGTGTTTTTATATTAGCACGTGGCTTGTTCTAGACTATAGACCATTTCTAGCAGATGTTGGTTTGCTATTTAGTTATCACTAAATGGAACTATCTATGCTTTTAACTCACATGGCTACATAGAGATTTAGTTAAAATCTTCTGTTATCTCAAATGTAAACAGGCTGTCATTCCAGAATACACTATGCCATCAAACTAAGACATTTATTTCATTTCACATGTCTGTGGCCTGTGATGCTGGCACGCAGCATTCTGGGGAGTGGGATGAAGTGTCAGCCTCTGCTGCTTATGTGGTCACAGCGTGCCCTGCAATAGTTTTAGTTAGAACTGTGCTAAGGAGGGTTTTTGTGTGGTCACAGCATGCCCTGCAATAGTTTTAGTTAGAACTATGATAAGGAGGGTTTTTGTGTGGTCACAGCGTGCCCTGCAATAGTTTTAGTTAGAACTGTGCTAAGGAGGGTTTTTATGTGGCCACAGCATGCCCTGCAATAGTTTTAGTTAGAACTGTGCTAAGGAGGGTTTTTATGTGGCCACAGCATGCCCTGCAATAGTTTTAGTTAGAACTATGATAAGGAGGGTTTTTGTGTGGTCACAGCGTGCTCTGCAACAGTTTTAGTTAGAACTGTGCTAAGGAGGGTTTTTATGTGGCCACAGCATGCCCTGCAATAGTTTTAGTTAGAACTATGATAAGGAGGGTTTTTGTGTGGTCACAGCATGCCCTGCAATAGTTTTAGTTAGAACTGTGCTAAGGAGGGTTTTTATGTGGCCACAGCATGCCCTGCAATAGTTTTAGTTAGAACTGTGCTAAGGAGGGTTTTTGTGTGCTTGTTTAATTCCTTAAAAATCTACATTTGTGCCAGACACAGTAGTGCACACTTTAACTTTAGTACTCGGGAGGCAGAGGCAGGCAGATCTCTGAGTTCAAGGCTAGCTTGGCCTACAGAGCAAGTTGCAGACTAGCCATGGCTACATAGAAAAAAATTTTTTATGTATTTGTAGAGTACATGTTATGAATGTGCCTGAAACTTTTTTAAAGATGGAATTTCTGTTCTAGTAGTCAGTTTCTTTTATGCCACGCCACATAAAAGTCTACAGTCCCACAGTAGAGCCCCAGTGTTGCTGAGATCAATGCAGAAAAGTTAAGAACTTTTTAATGGAACAACTAAAAGCAACTTCAGAACTAGATGTAGACATATTCTCAAGTAGTGCAAACTTGTAACAGACATTTTTGTGTTTTTAATAACCAGTGTAATGATTCCAGCCAGCACGTCGACTGAGTTAGAAGACTAGAGTGAAGGCCAACACAGAGTTTCACAGGCACCTTAATCTTCCTTTTAGCTAAACACAGGGCTGTGAGCTAGAGAAATCTTACAGGATTGGTAAAAAACTGCAATGTGTAGAAATGACCGTGAGACCACCTCCACCTTAGCTCATTGAGTAGACCCCATTGGACTCTCCCCTCCCTGCACAATCCACATCTGGGTTTTACCAGAGCAGGGTCATCTGCTCCACAGTGACCTCTCTCAGGTGAACCATGTTAGTGGCTTTTGTAGGGCACCATGAATTCCAGAAGCCAGCAGGCACTTTTCCTGACTATTACACATGGTGAGGCCAATACTAGCCTGGTTTCTTAACAGGGCTTCATGTTTTTCATCTGCAGGGTACAGAAAGACCTTCACTGCTGCTCCTGGGAGTGCTGGCTCACACGTGGCAAAGGGCATTACTTTTCTCAACCTTGGTGGGTATCCATGGTAAACATAACCAAAAACAACCTGCGGGGAAGACTTTATACCAGCTTACACGTGAAGCAACAGTCTATCATCGCCAAGGGAAGTCAGACAAGAATTCATGGAGAAACTTAAGCGGAAACCCTGGCAGAAAGCTGCCTGCTTACGGGCTAGCTCTCACTCTTGTTCTCTCCCTCTTCTGGATCATGCTCCCCATGCTTTCTTATACCTCTCAGGCCCACGTGCCTAGGGGATGCACCTCCCAGAGTGGGCAGAGCCTCCCACATCGATTGATCAGGAAAATGCCACAGAAGACTCATCCACAGGTCAATATGATCTAGGCAGTTCTTTAGTTCCCTCTTCCCAGGCTCTCTACTTTGTGTCAAGTTGACAATAAAACCAACTGGCTCAGTTCTAGCACAGTGGTTATGGAGATGGACCTCTCTCTGCTGTGTTCTAGCACAGTGGTTATGGAGATGGACCTCTCTCTCCTGTGTCTAACACAGTGGTTATGGAGATGGACCTCTCTCTCCTGTGTCTAACACAGTGGTTATGGAGATGGACCTCTCTCTGCTGTGTCTAACACAGTGGTTATGGTGATGGACCTCTCTCTGCTGTGTTCTAGCACAGTGGTTATGGAGATGGACCTCTCTCTGCTGTGTCTAACACAGTGTTTATGGAGATGGACCTCTCTCTGCTGTGTTCTAGCACAGTGGTTATGGAGATGGACCTCTCTCTGCTGTGTTCTAACACAGTGGTTATGGAGATGGACCTCTCTCTGCTGTGTTCTAACACAGTGTTTATGGAGATGGACCTCTCTCTGCTGTGTTCTAACACAGTGGTTATGGAGATGGACCTCTCTCTGCTGTGTTCTAACACAGTGTTTATGGAGATGGACCTCTCTCTGCTGTGTCTAACACAGTGGTTATGGAGATGGACCTCTCTCTCCTGTGTCTAACACAGTGGTTATGGAGATGGACCTCTCTCTGCTGTGTTCTAACACAGTGGTTATGAGGTGGACCTCTCTCTGCTGTGTTCTAACACAGTGGTTATGGAGATGGACCTCTCTCTGCTGTGTTCTAACACAGTGTTTATGGAGATGGACCTCTCTCTGCTGTGTCTAACACAGTGGTTATGGAGATGGACCTCTCTCTGCTGTGTTCTAACACAGTGGTTATGGAGATGGACCTCTCTCTGCTGTGTTCTAACACAGTGGTTATGGTGATGGACCTCTCTCTCCTGTGTCTAACACAGTGGCTGTGGTGATGGACCTCTCTCTCCTGTGTCTAACACAGTGGTTATGGAGATGGACCTCTCTCTCCTGTGTCTAACACAGTGGTTATGGAGATGGACCTCTCTCTGCTGTGTCTAACACAGTGGTTATGGTGATGGACCTCTCTCTGCTGTGTTCTAACACAGTGTTTATGGAGATGGACCTCTCTCTGCTGTGTTCTAACACAGTGGCTGTGGTGATGGACCTCTCTCTGCTGTGTTCTAACACAGTGTTTATGGAGATGGACCTCTCTCTGCTGTGTGCTAACACAGTGGCTGTGGTGATGGACCTCTCTCTGCTGTGTTCTAACACAGTGGTTATGGAGATGGACCTCTCTCTGCTGTGTTCTAACACAGTGGTTATGGAGATGGACCTCTCTCTGCTGTGTTCTAACACAGTGGTTATGGAGATGGACCTCTCTCTGCTGTGTTCTAGCACAGTGGTTATGGAGATGGACCTCTCTCTGCTGTGTTCTAGCACAGTGGTTATGGTGATGGACCTCTCTCTGCTGTGTTCTAACACAGCGGTTATGGAGATGGACCTCTCTCTGCTGTGTTCTAACACAGTGGTTATGGAGATGGACCTCTCTCTGCTGTGTTCTAACACAGTGGCTGTGGTGATGGACCTCTCTCTGCTGTGTTCTAACACAGTGGTTATGGAGATGGACCTCTCTCTGCTGTGTTCTAACACAGTGTTTATGGAGATGGACCTCTCTCTGCTGTGTCTAACACAGTGGCTGTGGTGATGGACCTCTCTCTGCTGTGTTCTAACACAGTGGTTATGGAGATGGACCTCTCTCTGCTGTGTTCTAACACAGTGGTTATGGAGATGGACCTCTCTCTGCTGTGTTCTAACACAGTGTTTATGGAGATGGACCTCTCTCTGCTGTGTCTAACACAGTGGTTATGGAGATGGACCTCTCTCTCCTGTGTCTAACACAGTGTTTATGGAGATGGACCTCTCTCTGCTGTGTTCTAACACAGTGGTTATGGAGATGGACCTCTCTCTGCTGTGTTCTAACATAGTGGTTATGGTGATGGACCTCTCTCTGCTGTGTTCTAACACAGTGGTTATGGAGATGGACCTCTCTCTGCTGTGTTCTAACACAGTGGTTATGGAGATGGACCTCTCTCTGCTGTGTTCTAGCACAGTGGTTATGGAGATGGACCTCTCTCTCCTGTGTTCTAACACAGTGGTTATGGAGATGGACCTCTCTCTGCTGTGTTCTAACACAGTGGTTATGGAGATGGACCTCTCTCTGCTGTGTCTAACACAGTGGTTATGGAGATGGACCTCTCTCTGCTGTGTTCTAACACAGTGGCTGTGGTGATGGACCTCTCTCTGCTGTGTTCTAACACAGTGGTTATGGAGATGGACCTCTCTCTGCTGTGTTCTAACACAGTGTTTATGGAGATGGACCTCTCTCTGCTGTGTCTAACACAGTGGCTGTGGTGATGGACCTCTCTCTGCTGTGTTCTAACACAGTGGTTATGGAGATGGACCTCTCTCTCCTGTGTTCTAACACAGTGGCTGTGGTGATGGACCTCTCTCTGCTGTGTCTAACACAGTGGCTGTGGTGATGGACCTCTCTCTCCTGTGTCTAACACAGTGGTTATGGAGATGGACCTCTCTCTGCTGTGTTCTAACACAGTGGCTGTGGTGATGGACCTCTCTCTACTGTGTTCTAGCACAGTGGCTGTGGTGATGGACCCCTCTTTATTCTGTTCTTTCAATATATGCTATGCTCTTCTCCAGGCTTCACTCATTTTTTTTCTTCTCCATGACTCCATTTTCTTATACCTCTGAGATATGGCTTGTGTGACAGTCACTGACCCTTTTAAGTCTGAAGGCAGAAAGTTTTCTCTGGCATGTACCCCTCTTACTCAACTCATCAGCTTTTGGGGTTGAAGTGTATCTTCTTTTTTTAGAGATCCCAGGCTGTGAGCTTTCTTGGAAGCAGTCCACAGGAAGCATTTGTTACTATACAAATGACCATGAATAAGATGCCCCCTAAGGACATGGAGGAATCAGAAGTCATGTTGGTCATAGATTCTAGAGGAAGAAAGGTCTTTAGACAATTGTCTGTTCGCTCATGTTAATCATAAAAGGCTTACAAAGGCCCCATTAATGATTTATGGACCGGCTTAAGTGAATTACGTTCTCTAAGTAAATATGGCAGAAGGAAACTTAGTATTAGATGTGAGCATATTGTGGAATTCTATATAGTGAGGACAGTGCTGCTCCACACTGAAAGTGGCTTCTCAGGTCATGTGGAAGGTGTGGCCCAAAGTGGAAGTGACTGGGATAGCCCTGGGACATGCTTACACATGAAGTGATGGGGACAGCTCTGGGACATGCTTACACATGAAGTGATGGGGACAGCTCTGGGACATGCTTACACGTGGAAGTGACTGGGATAGCTCTGGGACATGCTTACACA